ACTTGATGATGCGCCTTCGGCATTGCCTCTAACCTGAGGGGGGCTCACCAAGGACTGGTCCTTGGACAGGGCATAGCAAAAAAGACACCTCCATTTGCTTAAGAATATGTTTTATGTTCCCTTGTTGGTTGGGAAGGAATTCATCACTACTGGAAATATTTTTTGGTATTTTTCCCTGGGGCCTTAACCAAATGGAAGGACAGAAGAGCAAGCAGGCAGACAAAGAGACAGCCAGAGACAGAGACGGAGACAGGGCAGAGAATAGAGAATCAAGCGAGCGAATTTGAGCAAGTGCTCAGACAAACAAACTAGCACTCGCATTGCAGCTTCACTGGGTGTTTCTGATTTACGCGTGATTCGCGCGCGCGAAAACAAAGGCCGCACCTTGGACCAGCTCATGAGGGAAACTGAGCAGGAGCGGAGCTTGGGGACATGGGGATTTTTCGGTGCCCTTTCCAGGTCCATCCAGAAGTGAGAGCCTGAAAATAGTTGCAACCTGCAAAAGTAGAAAGGCAGGTTTCCTGCAAAGTAGTTTTTTTAGGCAACCCAGTGAGATCCTGAAAATGGGGCCGTCTTGGGTGTTTTTTCCCCTTCGCAAGCCAGCTGGCCCTCTGAACTGGTTTAAAGGCAGCCCAGCTCAAGCCGTTTCGATCCTCAAAGCGGCCAGACCCGCGTGGATCTTGGGGGTAGGCCCCCAAAACACCCTTTTCCGTGTTGGTAGAATGAACTGGCAGGTTCGCAGTTTCTCAAAAATCCGTCTCTAAACAGGCTTGGCCTTCTTCTCTTTGAATACCCACCAAAAGGAACTCCATTTTTAGAAACCCATAGGTTTTGGGCGCAGTTCCACCCCTCCTAGGTCCCCCAGCTAGGTGCCTTTTCTCACCCCTTTTTTGGGGGAGGTTTTCCCCTACTAAAATAGACCGGGAAAAAAAAAAAAACAAAACAAAAAACAACGGTACCCTTATTCCAACCTCTCTACTCTCCCCCCCCCTCCCTGCGCTTTTGCCAGGAGTTCACCGTGCTGCGGCGCCGGCTGCAGGCGCGCGAGCCCCGCTTCGCCGCGGAGTGCGCGCTCTTCGCGCGCCTCACCGCGGCGCCTCGGCTCGGGCGGCGGGCGTTCGGCTCGGTGGGGGTTGGCGGATTTTGAGTTGGGTATGGGTCAAAGTTGAAGCAGCAGGATATGGACGGCAGGTTTTGGTCCTTTCCATTTATCGATCGGGTTCCATTTCGAGTACCTATTTCTGACCCACAGCCAGTTGGTCGCCTCCCCCAGGCGATTCCATGGAAGCTCCCGAACGGACCCCTTTAGAAGACTTGGCTCCATTTGCAGAGGCCTTCTGGGAGCTTCCATGTTAGTCTGAGGGAGTGTACCCAGTTTTGGAGGTGAGGGAAAAAGGAAAGCACTTTTTGGTACCCGTTCTTGGAGGTGAGGGAAAACAGGGGAGCACTTGTTTGGCGGGTTCTTCTCTGAACCCACATGGCTGGTCCCAGGTTTGTTTGGGGTTTCTCCAAGGAAACTGGAGCAATTCACTCCAGGACACCTGGAGGGTGACAGGGATGGTCTTTCTGAATCTGATGGAATGAAGAGTTTTGGCCGTGAACCTGGCGATGATTCATAGCTGAGCCTCTCATTCGCTAGCGATCGAACCAGGGAGAATCGGTCGGGGAGGTCGGGCCTGGGATGTCAATACATCCGCCCAAAACATGGGATCTGGGCGAAAGGTGTTTGTTTTTCTTTCAAAAGATGATGGTCTTTATGTTGCTGACAACCCAGCCACATGAGCTCTACTTCTTGGACGGGGTGATGTTTTTTACTCCGAGTCCATTTATCGACACCTGGGGAGGTGGTTGTGTCATCGCCTTTTGGGAAGGCTGATTCAAAGTGGGGTTCTTTTTGGATGATCTAAGGGGTTCCAGGGGCCCTGTTTGGAGTTATTCGGTGGGAGGGCTTGTTGGGAGAACCCAAACCCGCTGATGTTTGGCATACCCAAACTCAACAGATTCTAAGGGGAACCCTGGTGCAGGTCTTCGCTGGGACGGCTGATTTGGCCCTGGCGACACCCCTCCCCTCAGCCGCGCTTCTCGCGAGGCTGTGTAACACCGCCGCTAGTACCGCGCGAGAACTCGCTGGGTGTCTCCCCGTGTTCCCCTTCCATGCGGCGCTTCAGAAAGCACCGCGAGCAATCTGTCCAACACGCACACACACACACATTTACCGGATACGGCATGCTCTTGTCTAGCCAAGCGCAAACCGGTGACTGTGCCCAAACTCCCATACTTCACTCGCCAAAAAGCGCAGCGTTTAGGCTTGAAGGGCTTCGGTTCAAGTGCCTGTCGACCCATTAAAAAACAGCTCATCATTGCCTTTAGCTTACCTTTTATTTGTTTGTCGCCTTTTTTGGGTTTCCATCATTTTACCTTTCAACCAACCAACCGTTTTTCCCTTTTGCAGGGGGTCTAAGTCAGGTCATTGCAGAACACCAGGCTGGCCGACAGAGGTCTGTCCTGCCGTGGGTTCAATTCGCTCCCTGGTCACCGAGCCCTTTCTGAGCAGTCCGTTCCCTGATTGGCTTGGATGAGGAGGTTGTAAAAATAGAGCGCACACACACACACACACACACACGCCGGGGCGCGGTATTCTTGGTTGCTCCAAGCGTATCCGGACCCCAAACCAAGTACCATGACTGTATTCATTATGTATGTGTATATGATTTGTTTCTTTTCTTTTTTCCACGGGAGGAGTTGCATGCATTGTGGTGGATTTTCTACTTACTCCCATGGACATGGAACCCAACCAGTTCCTCTCATGATTTTGGGTTCCATTCTTTTTCCGGGAGGAACTGCCCCTGCCATGGTGCAAGGAAACCAACCCAGAAGAAGAACCCTGGTTCCCATGGTCCAGCCACGATTTTCTTGCGCCATTTTCGGTCTCCTTGGCACCCCTCCGGCCGGGTGTCATCCTCCCAAAACCACGTGGGCGGCGGCTGAGCTCCTTCCGGGCCCAGGAGCTGCAGCGCACCCTGGGCTTCGTGGGCGGCTACGAGGCCAGCGTCGGCGGCCGGGGGTGGGCCTTTGGCCGTCGGTGAGGGCAAGCCGTCCGCTGCAAAAACGGCCGTTTTTCGCGGTGGGGGGGGTGGGGGGAAATGCCCGGAGACGGCCACATCTCTGAGTCGCATATCGGAAAAAAGCAGTCTGCTTCAAATGGGCGATGTTGGTGGTGGGAATCTCGCTTTGGCAACCGTCATTGCGGGACACTGGGCCGGTCGAGTTCGGTGGTGAATGAAAATGTCAAGTGCGTTCAGAAGTGGGGGGAATCCCACCCCTGGTACAGAAAGGGTGGGGTTCGACAAGCTGTTCCCTTTCGTTTCCCTCTAAGAAGTTAGAAGTACGCCTTTTAGACATATTTGCCCGGGCTGGGGGGGGGTTGGTGAGGTGGGTGGGTTCATGAACCTCTCAAAAAAGCCTTGCAGGGCTTAGGCGAAGCTTTGCCAGGATAGCCCCCAAAAAATCGCCTCGCAGGGGGCGTTCTTGCTTTGGTTTCCAGAGCGCTTTTGCTCTGTCTGCTTTGCGTCCCAGTGGCAACATAACGCCTTCGAATCTTGTCCTTTTTTGTGAATAACCCAATCACAAAGCCAGATAAGACTTGGTCAGCATGTACATGGGTGGTAAATGTTAGTCAGGGCCCCTTTAGTGGAGATCATTTACACGGGGATTTATGTCCAAAACCAACTTTGGAGGTGTTCCCCATTCAGATTCATAGCCACCAAAGTGGGCAAAGTTTGAAGGGGATGGCAGATTTAAGTTGCAAGGGCTCTGAGTGTAGTTCGGGATCAGCAGCACCCCTGCTAAACTCAACTTCAGATTAGTCGAAAAGGACGGGAAACAAAAAACATAGAACATATTTTAATTCCCCTCTTGGGGCCAAAAGTTGGTCAGGGGACCTTCACAATGAGCGGTTGTCCTTTTGGTTTCTCTTCAACACCTACCAAAAAGGGGTGCCCTGAAAAACGACCCATTTGAGGGTCCAGAACACCGCTCGAGTTCCTGGATGTTCTACTTTGTTGGGAAGATCACTCAGTTCAGAGTTTGTTTTTGGGAAACAGATACTTTAGTGGTAAACACACCAGGGTCCAAAAAGGCCATATTTTGACAAGCCCCCCATTGAACACCATGCAAGGCACAGCTTTGCCCCTTCAGCTGCTTGTATATCGGTACAAGTGTATTTGCATACTCGCTCTCTCTCTCTCTCTATATATATATATATTCGCGCAGATATGATCTACTTTTACGCTTTCTATTCCATATTATCCTAATCTACTTGCGCCATGCTCCCAAGGGCCCCATTTGCGGAAAGGTGCCTAAGAAGCCTTCTAGGAGCCCTGTTTCAAGGTTCTAACAACGTTTCATGTGGGGGGGGGCTTTGGGTTGTTCCCCAATTCCAAATACCCGTTTTTCTCGGGGTATGATTTTAGTGGCGAACACTCCATCAGTTTGGTTTCCTTTTTTGGAGCGTCAACTCAGGAAGTGAGAATCATGGAGGGGGCTATGTTTGCATAAGCCCAGGAGGCAAGGATAAGCCTTTAAGGCCTTGAGGGCGAAGGGATGGCCCCTCCCCATAGCCCCACTTGCAGGGGTCCCTATACCGTTTTGGCCCATGAAAGCTGAGTGTTGGGGGTGATGTTTTGAGGGGAAATATGGCTGTGGTGGTCAAAACCGTTTTGGGATCCCATTTTGGGCTAGGTGAATTCACCACCCCATTTTAGAACCTATTTTAGTGGTTGGATTGGGATGTTCACTGGGGGTACGATTTGGATTTTGACCCATGGCCATATGGGGGAAGCGGTTTCCCTTGTTCTCTCCTTGCAATATTTAGGGCATCCACCCTGATGGGATCCCATTTTGGGGCGGGGTTCACTGGGGGACGGGTGTTTGACCCATGGCCATGTAGGGAGCCCTTGGGAGCTCCATGGGAGCGCGCCCATGAGGTGGCCGTGCGGTCCCTGGCCGCCAGCGAAGCGCGCATCGCCGGCGAGGAGCCCACCGAGGCCAGTGAAGCAGGAAGTGCATAGGTGTCCTTTTTGGTTGATTTGCTTGAAAAGTAGATTTGGCTTTGGGTTACCTGGTGGTTGAATCAATTACCAGGGCCATCTATTTTGTGTGTGTGTGTGTGTTTTTGTTTGTTTGTTTGTTTGTTTGTTTGTTTGTTTGTTTGTTTGTTTGTTTGTTTGTTGTGCTTTTGTTGTGCTTTTGTTGTTTTGCATGGGTTGCAGTTTTGGGGTTGGTTTGAAGAAGACACAAAAGCAAAAGCACACCGCCCCATGTTGGGGGTCCTACTTTGATACACAACCGTTTTATTGGTTTGCCCCTTGATTTTTGATCCCTTCAGGTTTTGGTGCATTGGCCCCAACAAACTGGGTAGGGGTCTCTCCTTGGTTTGCTGGGGTCCTTTTGAGGTTAGTTTGGCTAGACATAGATGGATTTTCCACTGATCTAGATTGGTATTATTCCATTTACCAGGCCTCTGAATGCGCGAGAGTGAAGGCACAAAAACGTTGAATGCTATTGTGTTTGCAATACTTGGCGGTTGGGTGGGGTGTTGTCCCCAAGAGTGAAGGACCTTCAGTTGATTGAACCAAAGGCTACCGATTGCCCTTTTGTTGCGTTGCCTTCTACTCTTCTTCAAGCTTGGTCCAATGAAACCCAAAGAGATCTTTCTTTGTTCGGAAGGGGACAGAGGGCCATGTCTGTTCTCCCCCTTCGAACGTTAAGAAGAAGCTGCTCGACGCAGGCTGCCATCAATGTGGAAGCCTCTCTCGACGAGAAGTTGCGTGAGGGGCCCAGATCATCAGATCGCTGGGCAAAGGGACCCTGGTCATCTTTTATCCAACCACTTCTGCGATGCAAGGGAATCTCCTTTTGTGTTGTATCACAGAAGTGGTCCTTTCCTTTCGTTTCCCCGGCCAAAGGCGTAGGGATACTCCAGGGTGAGAGTTGATCCAGTCTGGGGTCAAACAAGCGATTTGTTGGGCACGATAGGACGCCTGGGGGATTCCTTTGGCGAAAAAAACAATACCTTGCCCAGATGTTTGGCCCAATTTGGGTGTCTGCAGATTGTGTTGTGGCGGGCTTTCGAAAAAGCCCTTTTTCTCAGGGCTCAGAAATGGGTGTTTCTGGCAGGTTTGCCTCAGCACAACATCTGAACAGTGTGATTTTCGGGCTATTGTCTGTGAGTGGCCAAGGGAATCCCCTATGTGATGAACTAGTCATTGGGGATACATCCCACCTTGGTATCACTTGTGGGATATTTCCCACGGATCGAATGCTCCCCAAGGCAAGCTGGACACCAATAACGACGGCTTTATCACCTTGGGCCAGCTACGCGGCTTCTTCGAAAGCCGCTCGGAACTTTGGTCCTGTGGCGAATCACTCTGGAAGTGAACTCTGGCGAATTACTCCCCGGGAGTTTCAGTTTCCATTCTTTTTTAGGCGTAATGGTTCCTGGGGGTCTCCATGGAATTGGGGGACCTTTTTTCGGACCAAAAGACCTTTCAAAAAGGAGTTCCTATTGCTTTGTTTACTGCCACGCAGGGGTTTTTTCGGCACCTGGTGCCGTGGACGACGCGGTGCCATTTCGAATCAGCACCTCCACCCAAAAAAGGCCTGCAGCTTGAAGCTCTTTTGGAGCATGGGACGTTTTGCTCGCATAAAAAGAACCAAAGGACAAACCAAAAGGCAAAGGAGAGGCGCCCCCGTTGGATCTGTTGGGTTGCATCTCCTTTAAGGAAACTACAACCCGCGTTTGACAGAGTGAGGCTCCATCTGGGCAAATATCGAGCCCTAACACACCCCATGAAGGCCTTCTGGGGAGTTCCCTGCTTTCCAGTCTGGGAAGAGGACATTTTCAGAGATTGGGAATGGTTCCACCGGTTTTGTTTCCTCCGGGTTTCTTGGGAAGCCCAGTTGCACCGGGTTTGTTGAGACTGGTTCTTCCAGCCCAAAGCGACACTGCGGTTTCAGGGGTGCCCGTTGCACGCCATCCCTTGTGGTAATGGTAAGCCGGATTCCCCGAGTTTTGCAAGTCAGCACAACCCGTTGTAATTTACAGGGTTTGCCTTGCTCCCTCGATATTCAGGTTGGGGGGTTCAACAGAGCTCGTGGCGTATTCTGAGGCCTTTCCATCAAGATCAAGGACTCTGGCTCGCGCAGGGGTTCCGACTCTCCCCTTTTTGCTGGGGTCTCCTACAAAATATTGGGTTAGATTTTAGGAGCCCCCAAAGCATGGCCCAGAATTAGTTTTAGGAAACCCCTAAGCATGGCACAGCATCATACCAGGAAACATATTTTTGGAGCAAGATTTGGGCCAAGTTGTGGAGCGGGTGTAACCAGTACCTTTTGGACAGGCAGGCCAGCTTGGGGCCCGTTAGTGTCCCTTGCGGGTGATGGTTGGAAACACTGGCAAGCCGCGCTGCGCAGGCACCCGGAAGACAACTTCTCTCTTTTTTTGAGGGGGCCCCCAAAATGCTGCGGTAGACTCCCAACCAAAGAAAGGTCAGACCCTAAACCCTAGCAGCTTGCTTGCACCATACCCCATCTCAAAGTCGGTGACCCCCCAACAGCTCGGCAGACCCATTTGGGGGTGTCGACCGGCCCCTGAAATCAGCTTCGGTTTCCCTTTAACCCCCGAAACAAGGGGCCCTCAAACAAAAAGACCAACCCATTTCTTAGGTCGCTGAAAACTGGTCCCATTTGCAGCTTGGCGTGCTTCTCACGCAGGACGAGGAGATGCAATTGCTGGCAGATGCCCTGCATCCCACGACTTCCATCCTTCCTCCACCGCCTCCACCGCCAAGTGCACCAGGCACATGGTGTGTGTTTTCTGAGGGTACCCATGGGTGGCCCGAAAGCATAATGGAAAGTGAGTGTTGCTCTGCGTGCGCAAGTGCTCGGCCCAAGATCGCAAGTTGCTCTGCGTGTGCAAGTGCTCTGTTCAAGTTGCTCTGTGCAAGCCCTGTGCGCCAGTGCGCTGCGCAAGCTTGGAGCAAGTTTCTACGAGCAAGTTCTCTGACTCTGAGCAAGTTCTGTGCGTGCAGCGCTGGCCACAACACAGAAACCTTTCGACGTGATTCCAACTGTCGATCCGGACTTTCAAAAGTATACTTCGCGGAATACTTTACTAGTTTAAAGTTGCGATTTGCCAGCCGGAGCCTTCTAAAAGTGTACTTCGTGCTTGAAAGTTGCGATGTTGGATTTCCACAACAGCTTATCAGGAAGGTCAATCCCGTTTTTCCTTAAATGTAGCCCCAGACCGCTAAATTGGCATGTTTTGGGCCTGTTTCCATCAGTGTGGCCTTGGGTGGTAGGCTGGTCGGAGGATCGGAAGGTGGTCGGGATGTGGTCGGGAGGTGGTCGGAGGTGGTCGGAAGGTGGTCGGAGGTGGTCGGAAGGTGGTCGGAAGGTGGTCGGAGGTGGTCGGAAATTGGTCGAAAATTTGTCGGCGGTGGTCGTTTGGAGGTTGCAGCCTGGTTCTAAAGGCGTGGTGCTGTTCGAGCTTGCGGTAGCCTAGCGCGTTTCCCTATTTGGATCATGCAGTGCAATTCCCCACGTCATTTGCTTGTGAAGCGCCGTTTATACCCTATCTGATCAGCAGGCCGCCCGGATAAGCCATTTGGAAATCCGTTTAGAGCGGATTTCTGAGGGGAATCAACCCTGTAAGCGAATCAGTCATTGGCATGGCCCGCTTGCCGGTCCCTTGTGAGGCAACCAAACATGACGGCATATATATATATATATATCAGGGGCTACAGAATTGCTAGTAGGTTTACTCCTACAACCATGATGAACCTTGTTTTTAACACCCCCCAAACCCAATTCTATTTATTAGGGCCCTTACAGAAGCCGACAGAACCAAACAATACATCTTGTTACTGCCCTGCAATTCAATGGCCGATCCAATCTTCCCAAGGTGTACCTTCAGTTGAGAGTGGAGTCACGCGATTAATTTGCTTTTTTGAATCCACACGTGTTTGTGCTGGTACAGGAACATGCAAAATCAGATGTGGGAATCGCTGCTTTGGTGTTCGAACATTTTTGTTAACATGCACATCGCCCATGTTTGGCTGCCGTTTGTTTGGCTTGTAGTCCATGACTACTCCACCGAAAACTTCAGCCACTTCATCTCTGAATTCGTATATAGGTGTGTGTTTTTTAGTGAGGGTACCCTTTTCAGGTTTGAAAGGGAAAGCACAAGGACAACCACAATAGAAACGACAAGTTTGACACATACCCACATGTAGGTTTTGATTTAACTTGTAGCATCTTTGGCACTGAAGACTAGGGCCCGCGCGCAGGTGCTCCCAGTCCCCCAGCAGATGACAAGGCCGGAGCCAATTGGCAAGCAGCCCAAGCCGTGGTTGTGGCAATTGGCACGTTTTTTTTCTGGGTTTCCCTTTGAGCCGCGGGCTAAAGGGTAGCTTTGAGGACATCACTTCAATGAGTTTAGCGCAACTTTTCTGTGATACCCAGGGAAATGAAATACGCAGTCATGGGCATGACATGACTCCAGATTGGTATGACACACACACACAAACACAAAACAACACATTTCTTCACGGCCATTGCCTGGGCTGGTCGTCGTCTGCTTGCTGGGGCACGTGCTTTCTTTGCCGGTGTTCCGGCAAAGCAAAGCTACGTAGAGGGAGCCAGCTGCAAATCTGACAATTTAGGAACCAACGAAAACCAGGCAACCATCCAATGCGGGGGTTCCCCAATTTTAAAAGACAAGCCCAGATCAACCCCCAGAATCCAGGAAAGGTTTTTGCCCTTCAGACCTTCCCTTGCGGCAGAGACTTCTCCAAAGCCTCACAAAGTTGGTGAGGCTGCGCCATGAATTCGCTGGCCTTCACGGAAGCTGGACATGACCGACATGTGAGATGGAAGCCAGAGGGCTGTGGCTCGCTCAAAATAGACACACGGTGGACGCAAAAGCTAAGTATTGCAAGGGAACAAGGGAAGCCCTGCAAAAAATCCCGCTGGTTTGTGGCTGGTTCACTTGCAATATTTAGGTCAACCTTCGGCAAGCAGCGGTCTTCATTTCATCGAATTCGAGACGACACCTGCACTCAAGCTTGAATCCGAACGCACGCCGATTTTGAGCACAGACATTTCGAGCGGGAGAGAGCTTTAGGCTTGGGTGTTGGTTAGGTTTCATTTGGGACAAACTGCGGGGTTGAGCCTCATGGCCTGAGGTGTCCTATCAGTTCCTCGATACTCGTTGGCTCTCAGGCCAACACCCTTCAAAATGGCATGCTGTTGAGGGGTTAGATGCATGTCACTGTACGGGCCAATGGGTGAAGTTTGAGGCTCTCCCCTTACATTTTGTTTGGCCAAAACGTGCTGGCCAGCGCAAAGTGTCGCTTCTCCTCAATGCCCCCAAGGTGCTCAGAACCCGTCAATCAGATTCCCTAAGAAGGTTCCTTCAGAGCCAATCAGGTTGGCCACTGGCCTTGGGTTTCCGAGCTCGTTGAAAGCGCTCGACGCGTCCGCGCCAGTCCAACGTCTCGGTGCTGGGCATTGTTGGCCGCTTCAGGCAGCGGATCTGTGGATGGGGGACGAGTCGGGGACGATGAATTGTTGTCAGAATGAGGAGGACCCTAGTCAGAACCCCCCAAAAGTAGGCCATGTCCTTAGCGGAACCACCAGCGATTTTTAATTTTCCACCGGACTACTCCGAAGTTAAGATGGTGAGGTTGAGTCCACCGGGCGAAACAATGAAAGACACCGACAACGGACCCCGCTTCCACCGTCGGCTCTAAGATGGACACCCCACACCACTTCTCAGAAGAGCATGGGGCATACACCCTGCCCATACGGGTGTACCTTTGAAACGAAAGGAGACGAATCATGTTGTTCCGCGAGTTTGAGCCCATACTTTGAGCCCATAATTCAGGTGAGAAACCACAACATGGTCGTTGTTGGGATTTGTTTTTACATTGTTGCTTAATTATTGTGGTTTAGTGGTTGAAGTTTCCACTTAACAGCTAGAATTTAATTTGTTGCTCCCCTTCCAACGTCAACCAAGACAAGGCTCCTGGAGGTTTCCTCTTGAGACGGCGTTGCAGTGCGTCTCATCAGGCTCTTTGGGCTGCGTCCGCTGGAGCCGGAGGAGCTGGTTGTCCTCCGAGTGCCCTGTTACCGTTTCTGTTTTGGGGGAGGGTTCCCCTACTAAAATGGACAGGAAAAGGGTAGCCTTATTCCAACCTCTCTACTGGAGGACCTAGAAAAGGAGGCTGGTTGGGCAAACACCAAAAGGAGGTTGGTTTGGATTGGTGGCTTGGATTGCTGGCTTGGTCTCTCCTTTTCCCTCCAGTGCTTCGAATCCCCAAACCCCGAAAGCCGCCGGGGAGCCTGGGGTTCAGCTTGATGTTAGAGCGCAACCGGGAACCTTCCCATCACGTCTTTCAAAGCCTCCACCAGCAAATCTTGCTGGTTCTCAGCAGGGGATGAGACAAATGACCATCCCCTATGGCCTTGTTTAAGGGAATCCCCTTCCGGTCATTCCCTGAGCAGCAGCAAGCAAAGGCTGGTCACTTTGCCACTTCTTCTTTTTCTCCGTTAAACCCTATTACAATCATAGGTCCCGGGTTTCCAGGTATGGTGTTTGGAGGTGTAGACTTATATACCACCAATCTAAGCTTGTGCAGTATATACCCCTGTGGATGGCCGAAATCCTTCACCACTTTGAAACCATGGTTGAAGCCACAACGCTTGTTGGTATTTACGTTGGGGAATCGAAGCATAGGATTTCTGAATGGTGGTGCGAATGGATGGAGTTCGCAACCATCCACAGTACCTCCATTACCCAAATGGGATAAGCTTAAGGCGTATATCTCACCTCCATGCCTCCAATACCTCTGAACCAAATCTAGCCGAATGAGGATCTTGTTGGTGCTCAGGGAATGGCCTTCCCGGTGTTGGGATTGAACCGTTTCGGGGATGCCCTTATAAAGGAACCAAATCGGATAAATGGTTTTTTAAAGGGGTCATTCCATTTCTCGCTCCCCTATTGAAGGCAGATATACCATATAAGCTTGTGCAGTTGGTTTCTCCCTAAAAGTGATATTTATCCTCTCCATACTGTGGGTGGACGAAATCCTGCATCACCTCAGAAACCCTGGAATGATTCGATTCCCCCTGCACATACCAACGAACGTCATGGTTTCCCATGGTTTCCAAGTGGTGCGAACAAAATTTCGCAACCCTCAACAGTACCTCCAATACCCGAACAATTCCCTCCAGCCGATATATGTTATAAACATGCTGAACAATTCCCTCCAGCTTGTACCTACAGAGCAACCAGCTATCGAAGGCTTGGGAAGTAGCTCTTCTCCGAAACTTCCAGGAGCTCTTCTGGTGCGCGGTGGAGGCCCACCTGCTGCGACGTCCTGATCAGCGCCTTGGCTCTTGGGGCCCCCGCCTTTTTTTTGGTGGACGCGGCTCCTGGTTTTGCTGGGAGTCTAGAAGGACATCAACAGGCAAACCACCCAACATGGGCGGGCGGAGGGGAGGGTTCTCCTAAGCGACACACCCATGTTGTGTAGTTGTGCTTTTCTTTGTTCACCGTTTGTTCTTTTCTTGAACAGTTCTGCAACTTGTCAGCTGTTCAACTCTGTAGCTTGTTTCACTTCAGATTTGTTCAGCTCGCTCACCCAAATCCCCCAAACCTCCAGTGGTGCCCCTTTCTTCAACTTGTTTTGTCGCTGGAGTGAAAACAAAACAGTTTCCGGCCACTGGAGCGGGTGGGATGGGGAGGTGTTCCCAAATTGGAGTTTGAAGTCCTAACAAGCTTGGGCTTCCTTCTGGGTTCAAACCTCCAACAAGAAGCATTGGAGTTGTTTTCGTGCATACCTGTCAACATCCAAAAGGGCTTTGCTTTTTTTGGACACTTTCACTTGGCGCTCCATCTTGCTAGCGAGGAGGGGCGGGTGATTTTTCAAGAGACAAGAGGAGGCAATGCCCTATTTTGTGCGCAGACAAAAGCTGTACTCGACCCATGTGTTGCGGTCATGTTACGGTTTGGAGTCCAACCGAGTGATAATCAATCCCCATTCTCCTCATCTGGAGCTCCAGCGGTCGATTTTTGTTGCGCCTGACAAGGGAAGGGAGACTGTGGTGACTGGAGAGGCCTCTCGGATGTGCACAGATTGATCCCCCCATGGGGATTCACTTTTCTGGCCAAGATTCTCTGGCTGGGGCCATCTGAGAATAATTTATACAGGAGGGAACTGCAGCTGGTAAACTCTTCCTCTCTTTCCCCCCATCCATTGGCTCTGAACCATACACGAATTCAACTGAAGCTCCCAACCAGAAGCCACCTCCTGATCCCACCGATCCCTGCCCTCCCTTTCAATTGTTTCAAGGGAATACCCTTTATGTACCTCCCATTTGCTAAGAGTATGTTTCATTGTCCCGTGGTCTTAAAGGGAATCCATCACTACTGGGAACATGTTCTCATTTTTTCCGGGGACTTAAGCAACTGGAAGGTGGCCAGGCTTTACCCCTGCCGGAACCCACGTCCGCTCCCAAACCCCCACCAACCCCGACTTAAGACTGCAACTGACTGGCTTCGCATCTTTTTTGAATCTCGGCACGCTTTTTTTGTTAAGGTTTCCTCGCCGGGGTCCGATCTCATAGGAGAAACCAAAGGGCAAACCGCCCTTTTGCGGTTCCCCTCCTGTGCATGGAGGAAGCCCACTCGCACCACCTAGAAACTCTGGAAGGATTCGATTCCGCAACTTTTGAATCCCAAAAAGGTTTCATTCTCATGGTTTCATTCTCATGGTTTCATGAACCGTGGTGGGTTTTCCGATTTCGATGTCAGCCATCCACAAAAACGACATCGATAATGTTAACCCCGGATTAATGAACCCCTGGCTGATTTTGATCGGGGGGTGTCCTCTTTTCGTGGGGATTCAGACCACTTTTGGAGGGAACACCCCCTAATCTTTGGTGCATTTCGCCACGGGATGTTAGGACTTTCACCTTTTGCCAACTAACGGGTTTTCCGTATTAAACCACAAAAAACAACAAAACCGTGTAGCAGGGCTTCGCAGATTTCGCCACCGAGTAATTCTGGGAGGGGTTATGAACCCTGGGTCCACATGACCCCGGGCGCGGTTCAGGCCGGAGCCTTCGGAGGTGCTGCGGGGCCACTTCCAGCGGCTCTGCAACTCCGAGGGCCGCATCGCGGCCACCGACGTGCTGCAGCTGCTGTCCCAGTTCGAGGCACGGACGGAACACGAAGAGGACTCTAGGGGGGTACCTCCCCCAAAAAGGGGGTGAGAAAGGGCACTGGGGGACCTAGAGAGGGTACCTTCCATGTCCATTCTTTCCAGGGATCCGGATCTTTCTAGAAAACCTCCAGAAAACCCGGGGAAAACGGATCTGGTTTTCTAAAAGAACGATGGTTGAACAGAATGAGGAACCAACCCCTAGAAGGACGTGGTTTGCTCGCCCTTTTTGGGGGAGCGGGTTGTGTATCTTGGTGGTTCCCAGCGAATCGTCCGGTTGCGGAAAGGTTTTTTTTTTTTTTTTTTTTTTTTTTAAGCTTTTGAGTTTGTTTCGTGGTTGGGTTTCCAGGTACCCCACAAGTGACACGTTCCTCGCAGGGGATCTGAAATCGGACCAGGTATGGGGCTGAATGATTACAAAAAGTGCACGCCTATAATCACTAATTTGTGTTTGCAAATGCCCCGCAGTCCCCATTCTAATTATTTAGGCGCTTGTTTTTTTTTTGTTTTTCTTATTTGGTTTTTTCTGAGGGGGAGACTGTGTGGTTTTGTTTTTTTTGAGGCTCGGTGCCATTTTGTTCAGGGAAATTCCCACTTATGGTGTGACTTGTTTTCGGTTGAAGGCCTCCAATGGTTTTGGTGCTTCAAGGGAACAATTTCCACGAACACGGCTATCTTCAGGGTTGCGCTGCATTTGGTCACAGACCCACAGGCCCCAAACGCGGAAATACATTGGCAAAGGGCTCGGAAGTGACGGCTGTCGCGGTAAAATGTGGCATTCCCACTGCGAATCAAAACCGCTGCAAACTTCAGTATGCTTTGTCTGTTTTCGTTGTGGGTAGGGTAGGGTTCCATGTATGTGTTCTTGAAACATCACCCATGAAAAGGAAGCGCATCGGTGTTGGCACCTAAACATCGATGTGTAAACAGGAGAAGCAATTTCACCCAAAGGGCGATGTTTCAACTACCCCTAAGGCGTGCCAAAGAAGGGAAATACCCCCGGCAGGGACGTCTTGCCAGGTGACTCCCAACCAACTTCCCCTGCGGAGCTTGCGCCGAGTGCTGCAGTGGCTGGGTGTCGAGGCGTGTCCCTTCGCATCCGAAGCGAAACCGAAGGGAAGCCAACGGTTTCAGGCTCCCCCATTCTGTACAGCTATTTGGTGGGTCTTTGGACTTTAACTTTTTGGAAAACGGTGGATTTTCCATTGGACCCACAAACAGTTATGTCCACTCACACCTCTTGCGGGGCGGCCTTTCTGTTGGTATGTTCCCTAGCTACGTTCTGAGTCGATCCATCTGCGGAACAACGAGCATCAAAAAGCAACGCCCATACCGCAGCGTTCAAAAATGCTTGGTTGCTGTTGGCCCCTCTTGTTGTGTTGCAAAAGGTAGGGCAATCCTCGGGGAGGATTGAAAGGACCTCAAGCCTCACGGGCTTTGTCCCAGTATGCAAACGTGTTGTTTTGATTGTGGCTCACTGGATCAACGCAAGTTTCGTCCCTTTGAAGGTTACCAGGTTCCAGACCGTTTTTTTCCAAAAGGCTTCCTCCAGACCTCTAGGGGTTTGCCCGCTGGTTTGAGCCCTCTTCTTTGGGGAGACGGCTGCCCTCGAATGGTTCCTATATTTCCCTCAGGGGCATCACCCAGGTTTTATCACGGTTGTTGTTGGGACACATTTTGCATGTTTGCTTATTGTGGGTTAGTGGTTGAAATCCCCACTTCACTGCTAAAACTTATTTTCTTTTTGCTCCCCTTCCAACGTCAACCAAGGAATCGACTTTCCCTCCCAGGTGATGTTAGGGGAAATGGTACGCCTCCTCCCGCTGTTGGGCCAACACGTCAAAACCAGCAAGGCGGCCAGTCCACCCCTGTTGCGGCCCCTAGAAGTCTCTTGTGAAGTTTTCAATTTCGGAACTTCCCAACTTGGTTGGCAGGTTTTCCGTTCCCTTCAAACCAAGACCCGTTTAAAGGTTCAACCAATTGAGACAAAGGACAGACTTTGTTGGGCCTGCTGGACTGGCTCTCACAGGGAAGCCAACTTCCTTTCAAGATGCGCCCGGCAGGCTCAAAAGAAGGACGCATCCCATATTTCAGCTGGAATGTGGTTGAGGACAGCCCACCTTTCTGAGGAACAACCTGTTCAACCACTCTCCCTAGGTATTGGTGGCCGGAAGCAGTGAATGAAGCTACGCTACAACTCATTGAACCCGCCAGATCAATTTGAAGGGAGCACCAAACATCACGGGTCCACACCCAAGGGCGTTTCCATGCTGGAAAGGCCACGGCTGATCCTGGCTTCTCCATTTCGAGTGATCTCGTGGGTTTGTCTTTTTGAACCCCTTGCCTCCTTTGGCTCCAAAACGAATCTGGGGCCGGAGTTGCTGGGCTGGCAGGTTCCTCCGGCTGGAAGGGGATACTGCTTGGGCTGCTTGGGCCCCATTCTTTTTGATGGAGCCTGCTTCCACGACTATCCCCCACAAAACAGAAACTCGTTTTTGGAAGGTTGAAAAGAATGGAGAATCAACCTCTAGACTACCCTCCATTCTGGCATATGCTTCCACTCTTTCCCATCCATATCCACACGCGCATGAACCCACCATGGGACTCATTGAAGAAATTTGACCAATCCAGAATTTGGTTCCACGGCACTGGTAGGTGTCTTCTTCATTTTGGTGGCCCCAGAAAGTTCCAACGCTTTGAAATTTTGGGCAGGTCAGGTCAAATTCATAGGTGTCCTTTTTCTGGCGAGTTTTTGGCTAGACATTGAGGGCACTGGTTCGATTTGTCTTCAAATGGTCAGCTAGAAGTACAAACAGCGCAGCTTATTAGTTTTTTTTTTTTTTTGCGGGGGGGGGGGGGGGTTCTATTCATTTTCAGGTTCGGGGGCTGCAAAGAAGCAACTAGGTCCCCCAGTAGTGCCCTTTTACCCTGTTTGGGGGAGGGTTCCCATAGACGTCCTGAAAAAAGTGGGTACCCTTATTCTAAGCTCGCTACTGGAGGACCTAGTTGCTGGTTCGATAGGCAGGGAACGAGTTGGAATGACCCCAAGGAAAGCCCATCCCTTTTGGTTTCCTTCAAGGGCAATGTTGCGTTCATTCCCAAGGTTCCCTGAGCCCACCTAGGAAAGGTTGGTTTTGCGAGCCAAAATAGACGTCCTCAAAAAGAGTGGGTTCCCTTATTCGAACCTCTCTACTGGAGGAGCAAGAGACCCCCAAGGGGCGTTGAAATGGGGACCGGAGGAAAGGTTTTTCGCGAGTCACCGAGAGTTGGAAGGCGAAAAACCACCCTGCCAGGTGCGGCATCTCGAGGAGCAGCTGCCCGGCCCGCTGCCCTCGCCCAACGACCCCCGGGACCCCCGGGCGCGCAGTGCGGATGGGCGATGGGGCGGTTTTTGGCGCGGCAGGTGGGTCTCGGAGTGTCAAATGAACCACCACAGCCAACAATCAAGCACGCGAAAACAAGGCACGCCAGCAAAACAGAGACCAACACACACACACAAATGAACAAACACAGCCAACACACCCGACAAAAAAATCATTCGGTAAAAAAAGGCGGTCAACGAGGGCAAACAACCCTAGAACAAGCCGAAGAAGCGAGCCCAAGAAGCAACCAACGCACATTCCTTCCAAGACAAGAGAGACCAGAAAACAAACACAGAGAACCCCCAAACAATGCACATTAAACCCCCAAATCAATCCCAAACACACACACAGCATGGGTGTGTGTTGGGTTTGTTCAGCGTTTATGTTTGGCTTGCGTTGGGTTTCTGTTGGATTTGGTTTGGGTCTGCTTTCATTTCTGCAAACGAACCAAGCCTTTTTTGTCAGACGCGATCTCTTGCCGCCAATGGCCTCGCAATGTATTGGTAGCACAATGTCAGCAATGCCCAAAATCCCAATGCTGGCCCAGAATCAACACCACATGGGTGTGTCTTGAAATAGGTGACCCCATCCAGGCAGGTGGTTTCTTTTGGTTTCCCTTCAAACACATCCAAAAAGCAAAAAGGGGTCCATTTCCTCTTTTGAGACAGGCCCGTCTGGGGCCAAGACCTAGTTGAGTTGGGATAGTGAGGCCCTGCCCTGTGGTGGCCGTGTTGGTAGGGGGGGCGGCTGCGTCAAACAAGTGGATGTCAAGCTTCGAGGGGGACCAAGTTTGAGTATTACATATGGCGAGGATGAGAGGGGCATGTTTCTCAGAGAAGGTTCTCCAATGTGAGTGCCTGCTCAAATCCAGGTTTCGCGGAGCAAGTCGAGCCTCGTTGTTGTTGTGGAGTTTGGCAGTCCTAAATATCCTTCAGGTTGCAAGTACGGCAAAGTCAGGAGCCCGTGGGGTGTCCTTGTTAATTCAAAACAACCCTCATGGGGGTAATTAACCTCATCATCGTTGCATGTCCCCTTTCTAAGGGCACACCAATCCTCGACATGTGTTGAATGATGCTTCGTCCTACGATCACCTGAGCCCAGGCCTGATTCTTCTTAAAATTGCACCAGAAAACACAGGATTCAAGCATCTCCGAAGCAAGCAAGAGCTGGGCAGCTAGGTTTTGCCAGGATGTCAAGTGGGTTTCCCTCAGTGAGGGCCATGAGGGTCATAGGTAATCGGTGGGGCAGGTTCCTGGAGGGTGCATGGTGAGCTGCTGCAGGGGATATATATATATATATATTATATATATATATGGTACCCCCCCCCCCAATGGACCCTGGTTTGGTGTGTTTGACCACTATTTTCCAGTGCTTTAAAATAAATAAATATATGTATATATATATATATATATAACGTCAACCTTGAATTTTAACGAGAGCATACCTCCTTGGGCCCGATTTTTGGTTGTTTTTATTTTTCTCCGGGTGGACATCTGTGCACTGCAAGCCCTTTTGGGGGCCGACGGGGAAGGATCCCCCTCCAAAGTCATTCCCAGCACAAAAAGCGGTCCCAACTCTTACCCGATGAAATCGGCAAGGTGGGTTGAGGGGGCCGTGCTTTTTCCAAACCTGTTTAGTCTTATATAGCTTAGCTTTTGGTTTGGGGATCCAGCAAAACCCGTTGGAAGTCAACAAACAGGGTCTCTCAGATTCCGTTCCGCCCTGAGGCTCCTTATGTGTTTTTCTTGAGGGGCCAAGCTAGTCCTTCTTAGACTACATCATGGGACAAATGTATGCCCAAGAAGCTGTGCAGATTCCTCTTGCTATGAACCCCACACTGGTGACAAGAGAGAAATTGGAATCTCTAATGCTCCTGATTTTGTTTTCAGGTGCCTCCTTTTTTAAGGTACCCCCCCCCAAAAAAAAATAATATGCATGGTTTCCCTCTTGTTTTGCCTTCAAAGCCAACCAAGCAGGGGGTACCAACTCAGAGAAGGACAGACCCCATAGGTGTCCTTTTTGGTTGGTTTGCTTAAACAAATAGAAGGCCCTGGTTTACCTGGTGGTTCAATCATCTACCAGGGAAACCCATCTATTTTCCAAAAAGGACACCTATGACCCAGTTGTTGTTTTTTTTTTTGTTAAATATATATATATATATATATAAAAGGTGCCCCCAGCTCAGGGTCGAATCCCCGAGCCGAGGAGCCTGAAGTTCGCCTGCGCTTGCAGCAGCTGCGCATCGTCTACAGCGTGCCTTGGCCTCCGTCGGGGCGTTTCGGCGGGAAAGGCCATGGAGCCTTGCCACGGGCCTCCGCCTTGATGCCCTTGGTGGTTGCTTGCCAGCGACTTCCATTTGCTGACCTTCTTGGTTTTGAAGGGAACTTATCACTACTGGACATATATTTTTCCGGGGCGTAACATATCCAATGAGTCACACTCAAAACCCGGGCAGGTGGAGGGTAGTAAGGGGCACTCAATCCCAGCCATAAATTTGTGCGGATATCCGCCTTGGTCAGTCTTTACATGGTTCTGGGTCCCGACCATTTCAGTACCGATCGGTTTTGATGATGACTCAAATAGTCAGGCAAGCCTTGGTTGGTGGTTTGGGAAACCCCTCGCTTTCAGGGTAAATGGGAGACCCCTCCTGAACCACCAAATCCCCGGGCTCCAAACCATTAGAAGCTGCAATGGAAGACGAGTTCCCGGCATTTCTCCTTCGAACGCCCGGGGGGGACCACTGACTCACCCCATAGTTTCCAGGGCCACTGAGTTTTGGATCACCCATTTGGGATGTCTCTTTTTTTGGGATCTTTTTTTCCAGGGTGTCTCTTTTTTTGGGGGTACCCTTTTTGGGTTTGGTTGAAAGGGAAGCCAAAAGGAAAGCCACCCAAAACAAATTCATAGACTGAAGGTGTACCGGATTGCATGTTGCTCACAATGCCTTGGTAGGTGTTGTTTTCTCCAGCTTGGTCCAAAAGGGAAACCAAAAGGAAAGCCAACAGCACCAAATCAAAGCCATGCAAATCAAAGGAAGTTGTAGAAATCGAGTTGTGCCTTTTGTGCCAAAGCGAATTTCTACGCCGAGCGTTTCCCCCAGAAAGCCGACCGACCCACTCCGCCCCCAGGACTTCGGCGAGCGCTTCGAGCGGGGGCTGCAGCGGGCCTTGCAGCAGCTCCGGCCGCCGGAGGCGAAATGGCCGGAGAGTTTTGGGGCGGTGGTTTCCCTCTTGGCGGCCACGAAAAAACGAAGGGGCGGGGGGGGGGGGGGGGGGGGGAGGGGAGGGAGGGGGAGGGGGGGGGGGGGAGGGGGAGGGGGGGGGAGGGAGGGGGGAGGGAGGGGGAGGGAGGGGGGGAGGGAGGGGGGGAGGGGACGCTTCCGAAATTCGACAGGTGAGTCACAATCGAAACCCGGGTAAGTGAAGGTTGGTAAGGGAAAGACCCAGCCAGAATTCGTCGCGGCCGCCTTTCTGGTTCTTTGCATGGTTCTGGGTTAATCATTGTTGTACCGGGTTTTGATTGTGACTCAGGTGAGGAACTCACTATGTGATGGAGAACATGTTCGCCAGGCAGCGCTTGGATGAAACCCAATGAATACTACTGCAGGAAGATCGCTTTGCGTGTCTTCGGCGAAAGTGGACCAATTTACAAAGCTCATGTTGATTGGCCTGCGTAGTGGATCGAATTTTCGGTTGTGTTCAATTGAAGCGTTTAAAGCAGCTCAATGCGACCTGCGAGACTCATGTCCGTCATGACTGACACCTGTAGGATAAACACTACCTGCCGACTGGGGCGAAGTGATTTGTTGTTGTTGATGTTTGTTTCTTTATTAATTCATGATCACAAGAGAGTCAGGTATACTTCGTTCAAGCAACTCCACCTGCATCTAAGAAGCCAGCTGCAGGACATGTTGCAGGAAATCCTTGCTTTTGCTGGGTGTTTGCCCACATGTCCAGTAGAATCGTAGCACATGTTTCTTTCTGAACTTATGAGGAACCTGAAAAAGAGGCCATACACCAAACAACACCACGGGCCGTTTTCACCCCGCAGCCGGGACCTCCACCCCCTCCCGCCCCCCCCGGCGCGCGCTACGCGGCAGGGGCTACCGACGTCCGCCGCCGCGCCCGCGCCTCCGGATGCGGAGGCGCGATGCCAGGCGGCACGGGCGCGGGAGTCCGCGGCCAACAGGCGGGCAGCGAAGAAAGAAAACGGGGAGGAAAGGGAAAAAAACAAAAACGGAAGAGCGAAGAGTTGTTCTTGGAAGTGAGATTCAAGGACCTTAAGTGTTATTTTTGCTTTTCGGGTAGCCTAATGACACAGATTCGGAACATCTGTTTTTTCTGCCCGGATCGTTTTTCTTCCCGGAGCGAAGTCTTGCGAGAATCAGCGCCCAAACTTTCTGGTTTATGTAGGTTCTACTGCTTGCTGCTTCTCAGGGAAGGAAACCCCTATGAACCATCCAATTTTTAGGTCCATTCTCTCATTCTTTGCTGCGCGCCAGCAAGAAGAGCATTTGCTTGACTTGAAGTAGAACCCCCGCCTCACTCGTTGAGTTTCTGGTCTTCGCCCACTTTCTGGGTTTGGACCATTTTGGAAGTAAGCAGAAAGTGTGGATTTGTGTTTGCCATCCACTCAGGAAGTTGGCTGCAGTGAAAGAGGCGGGGTGGGGGAAAACTCCTGTGATGAAGACCCACTAGGACGATTTATGAGGGTGTGTTAATGGGGTTTTTCATTGGCGGGGTTTATCGGACGAGCAATGACCATGTACCCACGAGAACAAGCAAAATGGAGGTTTCTAACTGCCACCCAGATAAAGCAAGTGGTTCTTTTTCGGATGTACGCTTCTACTGGAACCTTGCACTAGTCGTGGGTGTTCCTTTGGCCAGTTTGGGTAGCCCGACAAGTGCGATACCATGTTCCGTGATGCCAAGGTGGGAATCCCCGCCTTGGTATCACAAAAGGGGCCATGTTTCTCAGAAGGTCCGCCACACCACCAGACAACCCCAGGAAAAATGGAGGGGGCAAAAGCGCCCTCACCCCGAAGCCCGCCACAACATGGAGTAGTTGTTTTTTGGACTTCCGGCTGGGGCGGCTTTGTAGGGTTGTGGGTTTGCAGGGGTATATGTAATGGTTATAGCATGGTCCCAGAACCGGCTATAAACACACATTCCAAGGCCGGGCCTAGAATCAAAGGGTTTGGTTGCAGGAAGTTCTACAGGAACTGGCCCCAAAAAGCCGTAAATAAGCTGTTTTCCTGTAGAATGTCCTGTAGCCGAACCCTTTGATAGAACAACCACACACCAACGGTTTTAGTTGAAGCAAGCGTGGGGACCGGTTTCCTCGGTTTCCCCTCGATGATTTGTTTCGCTTCGTAGGCGCTGCGTGGTGCTGGAGCAGGAGGTCCGCACCAAGGACCGCATCACCCGGGAGCTTCAGCGCCAGGCCCGGTGCTTCGGAGCTTCGGAGCTGAGAGGAGCCATGCTTCTCGAAAGAGGCGGCGATCGCTTTTTTAGGAACCGGGTGATTTTCTGCTAGTGGCTTTCCTGAAAAAGACTGCACAAAAGGTGTAAGGACACACCCTATTCTGGTGTGTCCTCTTTTGGGGGTACACTGGCCCTGACTAATCCGGAAGCTTCCAGAAGGTTCCATTCAATTGGAACCCGGTTCTGGGCGCTTCCATGCAATCTGGGGAGGGGAGGCAGTTGTTTTATGTGGATGTCAAGAGAAAGCAAGAGAAGAAGAAGACACACTTTTAGGAGTCTGAAAAAAGAGACGCAAAAGAATAGGGGACACCTTTTTGGTGGATAAGGGGAAACCGAAAGGAGATCAACCTGAAGCAAAATGGTCCTTAATTGTAAACGCTTCGCGTTGCCCGCCTGGGCCAGTCCGCTTTTGGCTGGCCTTGAGGTATATGCAGTGCTTTAGTTTGCCTTGAAGTCTTGTGTTTATTCGAGTGAGTGAGTCGGCGCCGAAATGCGTGAGCTGGTTTCCAAGGTAGAGGGCCAGAACGAGAGCCGCAGAGAGCTACAGAATGGCGGCTTGGGCCAAGCGAAGGTGCGCATTTCTAGGAAGTTTGATTGGTTTCTGTCATAGGTTAATTAACCCCCCCTCCGTATCCGCCCCTCAAATGTGATTTTGAGTGGCTTCGGGTCCAAAAAACAAGAAACATATTCATTTTGAATCTTGGGCTTAGCAAGGCTTAGTAGGGCTTAGTAGGCCTTAGGAAATCTTAGTAAGGCTCAATCATGTTGTTTGAATCGCGTGCTAGCAAGGCTCAGCAACTCTCAGGAAGATATGGCCACCACTCAAAATTGATTATGAGTGCTACTGAGTCTTGCTGAGTAGTTAGAACCGTAATGATTCCGCTTAGCGGTCATTTGTACTGCAACTACGCCGAGCACGGAACACCTGTGAATTGAACATCAGCGGAGCACTCAGTAGCAGTCAAACGACACTCAGCAGCAATCAGCAGCACTCACCAGGACTCAGTAGCACTCAGCAACACTCAGTAACGCACTCAGAAACGCTCAGTAACACTCAGCAACACTCAGTAGCACTCAGCAACACACAATCACAACCCAAAACAGCACATTTATTTGGTGCATCCCGGCTCAGTAAGCGCACTCAGTAGCACTCAGTAGCACTCAGTAGCACTCAGTAGCACTCAGTAGCACTCAGTAGCACTCAGTAGCATTCAGTAGCACTCAGTAGCACCCAGGACCTCTCAATCACCTCCCAAGAACACAGCACATGGGCGATCCAGGCTCAGCAAGTTTTAGTAGCAATCAAGCAGGCAAGCTTCCACGCTTTGCTGTGCAAAATTGAAGCACCCCCCCCACCCCACATTCCAAATCCTTGCTGAGTAGTGCTCAGCAACACTCGGAGGGGGGATGTGAGGGGGGGGGGGGGGTAAACTTGTGATTCTGGGGGGAATTTGGCAGGAGTTGGGGGTGATTTGATCGGTTTCTAGGATGCGGTTTTTAGAGGGGGTTTGATGGAAAAGTCGGCTGCTCCTGCTGCGGGAGCCAGGACCATGAACTGCCAGCAGCTGCAGTTGGAGTCCGATTCGATCCGGCTCTTGCAGCCTTTCGCAGACGCAGGCTGGGAGACTTTGTTCGCTCTTGCATCATCAAGCGGCAGTGCACCAGCTGGGCAAGACCGCGTGAACTGCACGGCGATCGAGTTGGAGCATTTCTTTGCAGACACGGCTTGGTAATCCGTTGATCGTGTTGACGCATGACACAGCTGCAGCTGAGTCCTTGCCACTGGTTTTCTTCGTGGACATGTCCATGTCCAGCTGGGGCGCTGGGTGACCCGCAATCGTCACCGTGAACACGGCAAGCATTGGAGAAGGCATTGCCGCCATACGAAAAGGTTTGGAGAGAAACTCATGGCAGCGGGCCGGAGCTGGGACAGCTTTCACAAGTGCCCACGCAGAGCGAAAGCTTCGCAACTGTGATGCTTGCCACACCGCCCCCAAGAAGGGGTCTGACCGCTTCCCGGCCCTGGGGAAAGGCGAATTCTCAGAAGCACGCGCATGAAATGATCACTGGGCCAACTTCCGGCTTCGAAAAGAGACATCGGATGTTGACTAAGATGATGAAGGAAGAAAATATTTAGACTTACTAGACTAATAAAGGGTATGACGAGACTTCCTAAACCAACATGGGGAGATTGTCCCATCTTCTGTGGCCCGACGTGGGTAGATATCGAATGTTGACCAATATGAGCTCATCGGGCCCTCTCACCGCCTGAGCTCCTTGACGCCAGCTCTCCTTGTTTTTGAAGGGCACGTTTCAGTAAACGCCTGAGCTTCTGCTATCCAAGGTCAGTGTCCTTTTCTTGGGGGGATTATAGAACAACCGACGCGTTAATAGAATAAATGTAGTTCACCCAGAAACTCCAGAATCGCATTGCAACCGACATCATTCTTGGAGGAGATTGCAGGGCGCATTTTTAAAGTGAAGCCGCAACTTTTGGTCGGGAATCCCTGACTGGGAAACTCATGGCAAACCTGCGAATCTCCGGTGTGGAATGCCTGACTTGTTGGTTCTCATGTGGCTGTGAATGTTAATGTTGGCACTTGATTAAAACCCCCCCCCCTCAGGCCTCAACAATGGAGGCGCTGGAAAAAAGTAGGCTCACTTTTGGGACGTCCAAACAATGGAGGAATTTGGGGCCCAATTCTACTTTAGTATTGCAACCACTTCTTTCTGAGCAGACTTTTTGGAATACTACTTTAGTAGAACAGCTTCATGAAGTGGGCCACCAATTCAAAGGGGAATGCTTTTAAGCAAGTGGGCCAAAGGGGAATGCTTTTAAGCAAGTGGGCCACCAATTGAAAGGGGAATGCTTTTAAGCAAGCGGGCCACAAATTGAAAGGGGAATGCTTTTGAGTAAAGCAACTGATAGCTTATTTTCTGGGAGGGGGGGCCGGGGGCTTGCAAACTAATGTGGTTCCCCAAAAGAATGCAATTGTTGTGGTTCAGTGGGGTCTGTGAGGGGTACCCTTGTCCTGATTGTTTGTTTGCATCTGTTGAACACGGCTTAATAAAGAAGTTGCAGTTTCAGGGCTGGGGATGGCTTTGAAATTTCAGAGGTTTCAGCTGGCTTTGGGTTTTGCATTTGAGCAACCAATTCAACGGGGAATGCTTTTAAGCAAGTGGGCCACCAATTGAAATTGAGTTGTTGTTGTTTGTTTTTGATTTTTTCCCCCCCCCGACCGATCAAAACAACTTTCAGTTATTCTGGTCCCCATCAACACTGGGGGGCGAACCAGAATAAGGAGAACAACTCTATAGTTATTCAACGACCCCTGATTAATCGGGTGTTAACATTAATCGGGACCCCCCCTGAAAAGTGGTGGGTGGGCACAAACCTCGCCTAAATGATGTTCAGCAAAGGGTCCGCAATCAAAATTCATACCCATGCAAGGGAATGACCTCCTATCACTTCTACAAGCAATTGGTCCCTGGCTACCTGATCGCCACGAAACTCTTCTGGAACAAGGTGAGCACCCTCTCCAAGAAGCCCTGTTGGTATCCGGAACCAAACTTGCACCGATCGCCGACCACGTAGTCAGCTACGATCTCACCGGGAAGGAGACGCGCCGGGGAGTTCGTGGCACTGGGGATGGGTGTCACAGTCACGGCGTGGGGCCAAGGCGACGGACGCGTCCACTCTGACCCGCAGAGTCTGCGCCCAGGGCAGGGCAATACTTGCATGCGGTGACGGCCGGAGCCGGGAGCAGCAGATGTGGCCGCTTGCGGACGCCTGCCAGCCCCGCAGTGTTTGACGCACGACGGAGCTGAGGGCTGCCAGCGCAGCGTCCGGCGCCAACTTCGACCGCGTGTTGCCGGCATGCTGGGCCGAGCACGATTAATCCCGCCTGGCGCCCTTGTGGATCCCCTTCCAATTCATTCCCTCCAAAATTGGATTCCTTACTGACTGGCAAGGTTGCCAAGAAGCAAAGAGTGGATCGCGCCCAGTCCCTATGGCAAAGCTTTCCTTGGCCTTTTTCCCCTACCAAAAAGATGGGGCTCGCTCTTTCGGGCGTTTTTTCTCTTGCAGTTTCCCCTCCCCCCCCAAAGAAAAACACACCAACGTGTGATTTTTTTTGGGGGGGGTTCACTCGACTCCGGCACTCGACTCGGTCGCATCCTGTCCCCTCAAGTCCCGTCAAGTCCCCTCAAGTGCCTCGGTCGCTGCGCGCAAGCGCGGGCTCAAAGTTCAGTCTCCTCGATTCCTTCGATCCGCATCCGAAGTTCCAGGTGGGAGAGCTGGAGGGCCTCATGGAGCGCCACGAGCAGGAGCTCTACGAGGAGCGGAGCTCCAAGGTGCAGCTCATGGCCGGGACCTCGGGCGCGAAAGCGGCGATCGGAGCGGGGGCCCGCGATGGCGCGCGCTTTTTTTGGGTTGAGGGGCGGGGTTTGGGTTTGGTGTCGCGTTCGTTTTTTTGGGAAGTTGACCAAAAAAAACCAAAGGAAGCCACACAGAAGGCTGAAATGGAGGAGAGATGGAGGTCTGCCCTTCACTTGTTTTTTTTTTTTTGGGGGGGGGGCGGGTGCACGATTGGATCCAGGGGGGCTATCTTAGGGCGCAATCCCAGGGTGTCATAGAAGAAGTCAACGTCGGGAGTGAGCGGGGGGGGGGGGGCAGGGTCACTTAAAGTCTCTGTTGTTGAGGGGCTCGCGAATGGGGTGGGGGACGAGTCCGCTCCTGTTTTTGGGATGGTGCCTAAATGACATTGTTTTGTGTTTGAAGGTGAAAACAATATGGGTGTTTGTCAAAATGCAGGGACCCGGCTTCCTTTCAAGCAACCCGAAAAGCGTCCCCTCAAACAACACAGTCCCGATCTAAACAAGTTTGTTTCTTAGTTGCGCGTGACGCCTTTCGCGGGTTGGACTTTGCTCGTCCTTTCACGGGCCCTGACCTCTCTTTTGAGGCTCTATTCTGTTAGGAGCCTTGTTTGGCTTGAATTGAATGACTGTCTAGTTGGTGAATTTGACACGGGGGTGGGCTGAGGGACTTGTCAAACTTGTAAGCGATGGACCCCAAAATGGGCTCGGTGTTCCGAACTTCCTCTGCGTTTCCTATTTTAAAGCCACACAACTTGGCTTCCTATTTGAAAGCCACGGAAAAGGCCCGTAGTCTAAAAATTAGGCGGCGCATAGTCTATATTAGGTTGACCAAGTTTTCTGAACCGGAGTCAGAACATACTGTGTACCCCAGAGTTGAGCCAAGGAAGGATGTTCGCAGGGAGAAGCTCGGGCCGTTTTTTGTCTGAAGGCCGCTTTCCAACATTTGGGGTGTGCCAAAAAAATGGAGCCACGCCATTCTTCTAGGTCCTCCACCCAACTCGCCCCCGACGGAATGGCCGAGGCTCAGCTGGACGCCACGCTGCCCAAGGCAGAGGTGGAGCCGAAGCTCCAGCAGATCGAGGCGCCGGGAGCGGTCGCGAGCGCTTTGGGGGGGGGGGGACCGTTCTTCGGCATGAAGGGCACCCCTTGTAGAAGGACTCACAAACGCGCCAATAGAACAATCCCGCCTCATGGGGTCCTTGAAGGATTTTCCCCCTGAATTTTAGGCGTAAACTACTAGTTGTTTTTTTGGAATCTAGCTCCTTGTATAGTTACGATGACGACTTTATTGTTCCATACATATATGTACCAAAGTTGTACACATGCTAAGCGTATGCCAGTTCGATCCCGATTCCCCCAGTTTTTTGGAGGAGACCCCAGGTGTACGGTTTTTTGCCTTCACAAAAACTCCCAGGAGCTGCGCTTCCAGGTCGACCAGTTGCAGCCTCGGAAGTTGTTTTTGCCGCCGCCGTTTGCCCAGCCGTTGAAAGAAGGGCTCTTGGAAAGATGCTCAATGCCAAGTTTCTTCGACTTACTTCGGGGTTCCCCCTTTTACAGGGACAGGTCTGCTGTTTTTTCTTTTGCAGCCCATACTTTGGGAACCCCATTTGACTCCCGGAGTTCATGGACTTGATGATTGGGACGTTATGGGGGAGGATGCAACTTGGCGATTTAAGACACCCAAAAGGCAACCACTATTTCTTCGTAACTTTCTGGTGGAGAACATCAGAACACCTGCTGCAAAGTTCCTTGTATTCTTGGTCTTGCGGTCCCATTCATTTTTGGAGCTGCTAACATCCCCAAACCGAACAGATTCTGGGGTATGAAACAGGAACATCTAGTTTTCAAGGAGTTCCCCAGCTGAGCGCATGGAGGAACATCAACAGAGCACACATATCATCCGGGGGCAACACGTACGGAAATGCATCCGGGGCAAATACCGAGGAACGCACTTGTGAAGGTCCAACACCTGAAGGTCCCTTCCAGAGGAAATTGGTTTTTCAGGTATCCGGGTTCTATACTTGGTGGCTCCCATCCATCGCCTTAGCCTTTTAGCTTTTTAGTGTTTAGTGGGGGGTTTCCATGCAACCCACTAAAAGTTAAACTTTTAGCGGGGGGATCTGAGGACAGCCCAGTATGTTAGTGGGAGGCAGAGTGGGCTCACGTTCCAATCAACAGCCAATTAATCATGGCTTTGCGCGAGCCTCGGCTTTTGGCTGCTTTGAACAGAACCCAACGGGACACCAACCATGTTTCTTTACTTGTTTGAAAACCTTTGGGTTGAATATAAATATATATATATATATATATATATATTTACATGTTCATTAGATACGTCAGAAAACCTGGACACGCAACACCCTTTTGCGTACTCGACGGTGCAGCGGGCCACGCTTCGGTCACAACCCGAGGTCCAGCATCGCCTTGAAGCATGCCAAGGAGACGAAGCGATGAAGTTGGTCGAAATGGCCGATTAGGCAGAGCTTCCTCCGTTGCCCTTTTTGGAACCTTCAAAAGTGGTGGCTTCAAGGGAAACCACCAGTACATTGATCAACCTTGGGGCAAGTAAAAGTGGCAAACTGCAACTTTAGGGGAAATAAAAGTGTAAAACTGTAACTTTAGGGCATTCCCACAACGAATTCTTCCCAGCCATAGGGCAGTTCCCGTTTCCTTGGGTCAACGTCCCTCGTCCTGTCCGAGTCGGAGGACCTGGCGCGGACCTGCGCGGCGCAGGCGGAGAGCTACGAGCAGCTGCTGAAGCGCCGGCAGCAGGAGGTGCGGCACCTCCAGGACGATCGCAGAACGAGACAGAGTTTTCGGGGGATAGGAAGTACCTGGAGTCTCCATGAAAACCCCAGAAAAAGGGGTCATGACCCCTTCATTTTGGGGAATGACCCTTTTCTTAAAGGTTCATGGAGACTCCAGGTAGGGGGAAGTGGGGATGATTTGTGTTTCCAACCCTGGCCGCATGGTAGCACCAAAGCTTTCCATTTGCAGGTGAAGCGTTCGAGGCTTCAGGCCCAGCTGGAGTGTGAATTTCAGTTCCCATCTGGTCCCAGAAAGGTGTTGGGAGTTTCTTGGCGGTTTTCTAGGCGTCCGGTAAATCGATCAAACTCGGCAGAGGTTGATTGGTGGGACCCCGGATTCTCCAAAAATTGCGGTGGATTAACCGCGGGGGGGGGGGGGGGGGTGAATCCCCTTTTTAGTGGAAATTCAATCAGTGGTTGGGTTTCCACATAACCCACTGAAAGTCAACTATATGAGAACCGCCCAGGTTTGACTGGCAATGGGAACCCCGGATCAAAGTAGAACCCTGGCTGACCTTTTGGGGGGTGTCCCCTTTTTAGTGGAGATTCATCACTGCTGGAGGGGAACACTCCCTACTGATAGGATTATTCATCCGGGGTCAGCACCGATGTCTTCCCTTTTCTTTGATGACATGAATGGACCCAACCCCAAACAGATTGGCAGGGATGATGCAGAGAATGAGTTGGAGAACTCCCTTCAGGTTCCGTTTGTTCAGGTTTTGGATCTCTTACCATTACCGGTAGTGAGTTTCCGAGATGCGCATTTTCTAGGTGGTACTTGTTTGGTCCAAGCCCTATGGATGTCTAAAGTATATTAATTCATGGGCCGGCTGAATGGTTAACCCGGCGCACAAGACATAAGACGAGGGTGACCGAGAAATGCCGTGCGCTGTCGACCCTAATAATATTTGTCTAGATGTCTCCTGTTGGTGGGATTCTATCACTCAACATATTGTTCTTTTTTCAGGAGACTTAAGCAAATGGAGGAGAATGAACGCAAAAGGAGTGATGTGGCTCCCAACAGTGGTCAACCTTTGGTCTGCTCGGGAAAACAACAGTCCGGCATGGAAGGGGCGCTTTGCAAATTTCCCCTAAACAATGCGCGTGGGAAGACGCGATCCCTTCACGTTCATTGCAGGTTGACTCGCAACAATTCGCACTTCACTTGGAGGTTCGAAGCCATGAGCCCGGGTACATTGCGGCGACGCCGCGTTTCGGGGGGGGTGGTTCTTTACGTTTCGGGGCCCGAAGCTTTCATTCGCTTGGTAAACTTTATGATTCGCCAAGGGATCAACTAACTACCTGGATCGCCAGTTGCTGTGTTTTCTCCAACTGTGACGGATTTGTTAGGCAAAATCTCTGGCAAAAAGCCCAGTTGCTGTGTTTTCTCTGCAACTGTGTCGTTTTTTTAAAGGAAACACGACTGGCAAAAAGCGATCGCTTGGCTATCAAGATCAGTTCCAGTCCAGGAGTCCGTGAAGATGCTGCAAGCCACCGACGAGGCAGTCCCGAGCAGTCTGAACCGGAGTCCGAGGTGACTTTTCGGAGTCCGAGTGGCCCAGAAACCCTTTGGCCAATTCTTTGAGAGGGCTTCGGGTTGCTCAAAGCAAGCAACAAAACGCGGCAAGCCGTTTTATGTCATGGGAAACTTCGGTTTGCCGAGAAAATTCAACCAACAAGACGTGACATGCCGTTTCCGAGAAGCAGGTGACTCGACCCCAATCACGGTGGCGGGTGCCAAAGGGTCCGCCAATGCGACGTGGAAATCGCCGCAGGGCGAAAGTAGTGGTTGCAAGTGGCCTTCTCGACCACACGATGTTCGGTCAAGATATCCGTAGTGGCAGGGACACCCTGGGGCTCGCTGAACTTGGTGGTTTGCAGCCATCCGGTTCCTTAGCTTTTGAATCGGTGTAGTGGTTGGGTGTCCATTTAACCCGCTAGAAGTTAAAACTTTTGGCAGTGGATCGGAGGACAGCCCGGTAAATTTCCCACAACACCAACCTAGCGGACTCGCTCATTCTCCCGAAACACGTCTTCCAAGCTAGAGGTGCTCTCGGAAGATTGGGTTTGGGTTGTCGAAGTAGGGGGCCATTTTTTGTGGTAGCCCATTTAGAAGGCGGTACCCGGGGCCAACAAGGAACCGGTCATATGTTTCTGAACTCGCATGTCCGGGTTATGAAAATTACATCAACCTGGAGACTTCGGAGATCCAAGGTCAACAAGTTCAGGTCATTGCCACCGTGCCATGGGTCGCAGCATGCTTTTAGATACTTGCAGCTCAGCTGAAAAGAGGGGGTTGGTGCCTACCACCGATGCATCGGCTTTGCCTTTCAAGGCTCAGGAAAATCTGACGGGCACAGATTGCCAATCCAGGTGTTATGTGAGACGGAGAGGGAACTCACAATGGCATGTTTTCAGGTTTTTGCGTTCTGTTCATTTTATGTCTGGAAAATAAGCTCAGGTGATATCCCCAACAGCATGCGGTGCTCTCTTAGTGCTCGCACCACCCCGCAGCCCTCGTGGAACCCTGGTGGAACCCTGGTGCAACCCTCGTGGAACCTTACCTCAGCGCCGCCCCGGACCACCCCGGAGCCTATCTGGGCTGAGACCCCAAAGCTTTCAGCTGTTGGGGAAAAACACTGCTTTTCTGTTGCCACACCAAGGGTTGCAAAGATCCCCCATTGGACCATTCCAGCTTGCGGCGTTCGTGCGATTGAAGCGCGTTTTTCAGATGTCGAACACCGTGGGCAAGCTGCAGTACCGGCTGCTGCTCAGCCAGTGGGAGAAGGGCAATCTCCAGCGCCAGCTGCACTCTGTGCCCTGGACAAACGGGGCAGTCCCCCTCCCGAAGGCCCCAACCTAGATAGCCAAGTTGCTGCTTTTTCAATCAATGTTTCTGGTTTTTGGGGTAAAGTGGATGGACAAAAGCAGCAACTGGCGATCCAGGAAGACCTTATTATTTGCGCTCCTGCATACACATTACTATGGGTTTGTGTTTTTTTGTTTGACGGCACGTTTTCCGGCTTGGTTTAAAGGGAACCCCGACAGGAAAACCATCATGTTTCGGGTCCCTCCGCAATTTTAGCACATACCCACATCGGATTTGTTGTCAAAATAGGCGGCCACCAAAACAAACCGCCGTTGTTGATTCTTGGTTTTTCCGGAGCTCAACATGACACCCTTGACATGTGGAGTCTGAACGAGTCTTGAAGAGTAATCACCCAGAGGTCCCAAATATTGAGAGCCCCCCCAAATGTGCCCCAGAATTAAACAGACCTGCTGAAAGAACAAGGGTGCCCCAAAGCGTGATCCAGGTCCCCTTTCCAACGAAACGGGACACGCCCCTGTTCATCAAATCGGGGGGTTATTAGTCCTGGGTTTCCATTCCCAAACAACGCGGGCCCTTCTGATGGCTCCTTGTTTCCTTTTGGTTCCCTCTCAAAGCAGTCAAGTAGCTGCAAAAGACGCATGAGCCACACTCAAAAGCGAACGGATGTAGGTTTCGGGACGGTCCCCTTGAAAATATGGAAGTTCTAGTACGCAATAAGCAGCTGAGAGAAGCTCCAGTCAGCTTCCATGATAGTGAGTGAGAGATTCTATGCACAAGTCTCTGTGTGTGTGTGTGCTTCTTTTTGAGGTTCATTGTTCAGCTTGGTTTGGGAGGGACACCAAAAGGAGAACCACCATTGTTCCGCTGTCTCTTTTTTGACAAATACCCGCCAAGGTTTGTATTTACCGCGCACGGCTGTGGCGCCTGTGCTTGGCCGCCAGATGTGACTAGGCCACGCAAGACCTTCGCGAAGCTCGGCGAGAGCTACTAGACAACGAGGAACAGGCGGGATGTTGCCGGCCTGTTGTTGGTGTTGTTTGTTTGTCTGTCTGTCTGCCTATCTGTCTGCCTGTCTGTCTGTCTGTCTGTCTGTTTGTCTGTTTGTTTGTTTGTTTGTTTGCTTGCTTGCTTGCTTGTTTGTTTGTTTGTTTGTTGGGGGGGTCCGGGGGGGTTAGGGGTTATTTAGTCCGAGTAGGTTTCTATAAACACTCATCCAGTGTTTCGGATCGGAATCTTCTTTCGGGAAAGGAGGCCTCTTTTTGGGTCCTTTGTGAATTTGCGGGGATCGGAGTTCGCCGCAATAGTTCTTCCTGCCTCCGCTTCTTCAAAGCGAAGAACCAGGTCTCGATCGATGATCGAGACAAAGGACGCTGAGGCAAAAATTATCCTTCGTTGTGATGGAAGACGAGGCGAAGAAACGGGTCTCAGCTGGACAACAGTTTGCGGCACAGCGAAGCTGAAATAAAGGTAGGCCAGCTGAATTGCGAGCAAAACTAGGCTCACCATGATGTTGTTTCTTTGCTTGGGGATCCCGTATTTCGGGTGCTGGAATTGTTGTTGTAGATTGGCAGATTGATTGTCATGATTTCCCTGGGGTATTCCATGTCTCTTTCGGACCAGGCTTCTAAACAAGTCGAATCACGTCGACCTGGAGAGCGTGTGATGTTGTCCCCAGAATTCATCACCCTGGCAGACTCTTTGAGGAGTGTGCCCTAAAAATGGAGGTTTCTCATGGGTAATAATTCTGGTTGCATCGCTGGATTCAAGGGAAGTGCGATCATTTCATTGAAATGCGTTTTGTTGCCCCTTTGCGTAGGGTCACACGCTATCCAGCTGTTTTATCTGCAGGGCGCAGTGTTCAGGTTTGTTGGGTGCCCCGGGCAAAAGCCCTACTTGAGGTCGCCAAAGCGTGGCCGCTTCTTGCCGTCAGCATGCATGTTCAACAGAAAAGGATGTTCGGTTGCCTTCTCACCTTCATGAGGAACTACATGCTGAAAGGTCCTTTAGAGTGTGGCGCGTTGATCATGAGATGATTGCAGCTGAACCAGCCCTAGAAAAGTATTAGAAAACAGCACGGTGGATGGCAACTAAACAACGGGCAGCAATACACCCCGCAGTTTTGAGCAGGGGCGGGGTAATTAGACGCGCATGGTTCACTCGCACTTGTTTGGGCAATCCAGCGTACCGCCGCCAGACTCGTCCTTTTTACACTACCTTGTAGGACAAATGTGTGGCCTACCTGCAGTTTGTCAGTTTCCTCTTGGTATGTCAAGCTGGTCCCAGAAGAGAGGTAAAAAGGGCTACCCCAACGCCCGACCTTAGGTTCACGTCTGTTTGATGGAATCGGCCGAGTTTTTTGGCTCGGCGACTGTTGGAACGTGTGGCCGAAGCCTGCTTGGACCGAATCTCGTTTGACCAAGACCAATCCAATCCAATCCAACTGAATGGTGGTCTCTTTGTGTTGGTGCCATTTTGACCCGCATTCAAGCCAAAGCCAGTTGTGACCAGTCTCTTTGTGCCATTTGGAGCCGGTTGGACCCAAGTTTTTCCCCCCAATGCCAGTCCTTTGGCCAAATCGGATGAGCAGCCTCGTGTAGAAGAGAGTGAGGCGGTTTGGCAAGGGATTCAAAGGGCAACTAGCCTCCAACTACAGAACCTGACTGAGGGTTGCTGAAAGACCATTGCCAGCCAAACGGGGCCATTTCTCCGGAGAGTTGGATGTTGGCGACGCTTTTTTGGCGGAATTGCTTTATTAGGCAACCCCAATGGGTGTGGTCAAAACTGGGAGAACGAACATTATTTTGGTTGTTTTTTGGTATTCTTTGAAACCCAGGAGAAACGGGGGTACTGAGCCTCAAGCAACACACCCAAATCGAATACGTTCGCCAAGCTTTGTATTTGTGTGTAACTAAAACTTGGGGTGGTGGCTCTAGGTTGGTCTCCTTTTTGGCTTCCATTTCAAGCCGTAACAACGAGGGGCCGGAAAGAAAAATGAGGCAGACTGAAGTGAGTTCCCAAACTTGCTGGTGCTCAGGGAATGAGAAATGGAATGCCCCCTGTAAACAACCCAAATTGTGGTTCCCCTATTCGTGAATCCCACGGTTCATCAACCGGAACGGTCATTCCCTACGGATTTTTTTTGAGACAGACGAAAGTGAGTGCCCAAAAGGCTCCCTCAGACAGATATCTCGCGAGGTGGAAAAGGAGCGCCAGCAGCATGAGGACACTGAGGCGCGTGAGACAGGGGCCTAGGAAATCCAGACACAGACATGGGGGTTTCTCGTCGGACCCCCTGTTGGTTGGAATTTCAAGGGAGACCAAGAGGAACCCGGCCATTCGAGGGGATCCATTCAGAAACTCCCAAATGCGTGCATACTATATATATATACATATATATATATGCTATATATATATATATATGTATATATGTGTGTGTGTTTGAAGGTAGTTGGTCCGTTCAGGTTGGTGTATTGATTCAAAGCCGCTGGCACGTTGACCAGAGCTGTGTTGTGTCAAAATCGTGGTCTGCGAAGAGTGCTTGGCTTGCTGTTGGTTTCCATTATTTAAACACCAACCCAACGGGGTCCACCATTTTCAGCATCTTGTTGAACAATTTGCTCCCTTTGTTTTTGGAAGGTACCCTTCTTGAGGTTGGTTTGAAGTGAAACCAAAGGGAAATCCACATGTTTTGAACTTCACATGCCAACATGTGACCGTCACGGTCGAGCACCGTTGGTTTCAAGAAACAGCCCCCGACCACCGTAGGGCAAATGAGAGAGATTGGTTTCAAAACATGGTTTGAGCATGTTGTAAACAAGGGTTGAATCGCTTAACCCCTGGTCACTATCCAAAGGGATGATTAGTGATTTTCAGGAGCACGTTTTGGTAGACTCGGCATTCGCAATGAGCTTCTCTTGATGGATGGATACACTGGATGCAAGTCCAAACAGCAGCGTGTAGTATTACAGGATGATCAAGCCAACTTGGAACAGCGACCTCATGTTGGATGGCTTCTGCAAGCTCGTTTCCACTTGGGATTGATATGGGGGTGTCCAAAACAGGATATCCCCTTGTGGTTGTGGGGAAACCAGCATTTCTGTGAGACCCCTGGCATCACAGAAGTGATCAAGTCACCATGCTGGTAGTTTTAACAGCTGTGGCTATGTATACCATCAACCATCCCTCAGTCCCCGCAAACAGGGAAATGAAGAATATGTCCCTTGAGTGGCTGAGATGCCCCAGTTTGACCTGGCAGGTGGCTTAGGGGTAATTACAGGATTTAACCCCTTTAAGAGAGGATCCTTTGCTTTTTGGGCGACCCCAAGTATGAATCGAACAGGTTGATAATTATAGGGTCGAAATTGGTGGAACTGATTCCTGGAGCTCAACGTTTTGAAGTCTCAGGGAGGGTGCTCCCCTGTCTGATGTTGTTTTTTGAGGCGAGAAAAACTGCCTGTGGGTATGAGGAATGTGTCAAAATAGGGGACCCCCCAAAATGGGTGGTTTATCTTTGGTTTCCCTCTGCACCACCCAACAAAGCGGTTCATTCAGCAGAAACACAGCCTCACATGTGTTAATTGGTTTGGGTCTAGGTTTGTACCTTGCTTGCTTGCTTGGTTGCTTGGTTGGTTGGTTGGTTGGTTGGTTGGTTGGTTGCTCGCTTGGTTGGTTGCCATGTGTTCTACGGTCAGGGGCAGCTGCAGCACAGCTTGGCGGAGCTGAAAGCGCAGGCCGCCAAGCTTCAGGAGGAGAAGACCGCGGCCATGCCCATTGACAAGGCCGAGATCGATTTCGATCGGCGCGCGGATTTTCTCGGAGTTTCCCAACAAAAAACGGGTAGGGTTTCTAGGTCCCCCAGCAATTGGTGCCCTTTTGTACCGTTTCTTTTTTGGTAGGGAGGGTTCCCTTAAACTAGACTACAGAAAAACCGTTGGTACCGTGATTCTAAGCTCTACTGGAGGACCTAGGTGTCCTTTTGGTTTTCCGGCCCATTGAAAACCCGCCAAAAGCGTGCAGTTTCCATGGACACCACCAGTGAATTGCAATCTTTGCAGGGGAAATCCAGTGGCCCCTGACTTGGTATATCCTCAAAAAAGGGACGGGCCCCTCATGCCCCGTTTCGTGATGTTTAGTCAACTTTCGGGGTAATGGCGGGCCTGGGCCTTTTGCCAAACAGTTGGAACCAGTTGGATCTCCGAAGCAGTTTTATATGCTTCCATGTTCTTAGGGTTTTGTCTTTTAGTCTTCCCGTGTTGGTTTTAAAGGGACACGATTTCACTACTGGACATGCTTGCTTATTTTATTTTTTCGAGGGACGGAACACGCAAATGGGTAGGTTATGTTCAGACTATGACCCAGAAGCTGATCATATCTTTTTTGTCAAGCTTGGAGTGGGGTGGCTTCGATGGGTCTATAGCCTTCTGAAGGGCTTCTAGGTTTATCCTGGGCTTGTCCTAGCGACCTCCCTCCCCTAAACCCATGATACAGTTGTCGGTGCCAAACCATGCGGATTCTAAGAAACGGGTTTCACCAACATTGACTTGGTGGGAGGCCGAACGCTTATTATTTGTTTCCAGCCCGCAGGGCTCCCAATACACGGAAATCCAGCTGGCGCGCAGCGCAGATTTTGTCCATCCACAGTATGGATTGCTTTCCCCTGACAATGAACCACGGTCCGAGCATCTCTGATCCATTTGGGTGTTTCTCAAAATAGGGGTTCCCTAAACTGGTTTCTTTTGGTTTCCCTTCAAATCGCAACCCAAACTGGGGTCTCCTCCGAACCTATTAGTTATTTTGGGCTAGACTACATGTGAAGCAGACACATCACATTGTTGTTGTAGTACCCCAGATGTTGGCCAAGCTATATTTGGAAATCCCTCCTTTTGGCTGTTTTTGTTACAGGCAAACCATAATGAACGCCACTTTGCATTGTTTTGCACCCTTTTTTTCTCCTGGCTTCAAAGGACAGCCACCTGGAACATCCTTTTTGCCATAGGAAAATCCTTTTGCCTTGTGGCGGGGGGGGGGTACCTACCTGGAGCCCTTCTGCCATTCTCGAATGGATGGTCAAAAAGTCCCAAAAGAAAGGGGCCAACAATTTTCAAGGCTCAGACGGAGATTCTTTTTTGCCATGGTCCAAAGACCCGCTTCCCTTACCCTGGGGTTCAAACCACCATGAAAACCAAGGGGGTTCATTGTCATCCAACTTGGGTCAACCATTCTTTTGATGGGACGTGGAGCCTAGGCGCTTACTTGCAGGGGGTCCCATAAACACCAAAAAGGACGAGGCACCCATCAGCCCCCCGCCCGGCGCGGCCCGACCGCTAGGCGCGGCAGCTGACCTCGCGGCTCGAGGAGATCTCCGGGCGCAAGATGGAGCTGGAGGCGAGTGTCCCCGTCGAGCCGTCGAGCCGTCGAGCCGGCGGCGGGGCCGTCGGGCTACAAGTCTCGGGTGGACCTTCATTATACCCATAGGTGGTCGGTCCATTTTGGTTGGTTTTGGCAGAAAAGTAGGGGCGATTCCTGGGTTTACCTGGTGGTTGAATTATCTACTAGGGCCATCTGTTTCCCCTAAAGGGACACCTGTGTACCTACCGGTTCCTTGTTCATTTAATGGTTGAACCCCACAAATTCACCCGGAGCCTGGAATCTGTTTCGGAAAATGGTCCCTTGAGCCCAAACCAGGGGCCCCCGAACGTCAGGTTCCACGCTCAGTGGTGGACCCACAGACCGGTTCCTTGTTCCCTTGGCCTGGCAAACCCAACCCGCTGTAGAAAGGAAAAACGCCCCTTTTGGGGGCGAGGGGTATGAACATCAGGCCTTGTGGGTTCATTGCCCACGGGGTATGTAAAAGGGGTATGTAGAAGCACCCCTGGAAAGTAAAATGCAAGGGGCTGAAGAATTACCATTATTTTCAGTGGTGACTGATTTGAGGTTTTATGGCAGACTCCCATTCTACTTATTTGGTCGCCATTGCCTGATGTGCTTTGACCCCTTTTCGGGTCGCTTGGAGCCTCTGGGATTGGAGTTTTGGCCCAAGGAACTGCGGTTCTCCTTTTGGTTTCAGTTTGGAACAACCAACCTGAAGCGGGTAGCTTCAAAAACAGATGCCCAGGCATTTTTATTTTTATTTTCTCCGGACCGAATTCGGATGTCCACCAAAGGGTCCGGAGCCCATCAAAACTTCACGCTCTGGATAAAATTGGTCTGGGAACCTTCCTGATTCGTTGGAGAAGTGGAGAAGTCCGGGAAACACATCGCGACCCCATTGGCGGCTCCCAGCCATCCGGTTCCTTAGCGTTTTAGCTTTTTGGTATTTAGTATTCACTTTTTGCCGGGGGGTCTGAGGGCAGCCCAGGTTTGGATTTGTTCGCGAGGCACCACCGGAAGGTTCGGGTGCTTTGGAAGTCTAGCGAGAAAAACAAAAAAGGAAGACGGGCAAACCACCGAGCGAACGATGCTTTTTGGGTTGGTCTAAAGGAGCCTTGGGCTGGTTGCATAGGTCACCTCTTAGTGCATGGCTTTGGACCTGCCAAGGGCGCGAAGCAACTCGCGCCCCAAGGGCGAACCAAAGCCGACCTTGCCCAGGAAGCTTCCAAGAAAGCGAATGCTGAAGTGACCATTGTCCCTGGCAAGATCCCCGACCTCCGGTCTCAAGCTCCAGTCCTCCATATTACGTGGACGCCAGTATAGACGAAGTGGGGAGCAAGTGAAGCATCCTACAACCTATCATGGTTTATGTTGGGAACGTTTGCTACACAAATAGCACATACACAGATATATATATATATATGCAAATATTATATACAGATGTACGTGGAGGAATCATAGTTCGACGTCAGCGAACGTGCAGCTCAGCACCCCTTTCATCCGCAGCGTTCATAATTGAATGTGCCCCGAGGACTTGGCCGAATCTGGCTCCTGGAAATGACTTGTCTACGTGTGGCATGCTTCGAGGATGACCTCTGGAACGATGGCACGTCTAGGCTTAATTGCCTGCTGTTTCGTGAATTGAACGTCCGGATCCGACGCAATTAAACCCCCTTCTGAGCAAGTGCTAAATCTTACCGGCACGTCGCGTTGACGGTGCGACACAACGCGCCGATGAAGCAACAGCAAACCATGAGGCTTGCGGGTATATGTTTATACAGACGTAGGGAAGAAGTTGCTCCGTTTAGAAGGCTCATTGCCACATGTGCCGATACGGTTCCGCAACCACTGTAGGTTATTGCAAAACCTTGATGTCACACACACACACACATCCCGCAGGATAGTACACCACCAGAAGGGGCCTCGCAAAAAATGTCCCTTTGGATACGTCTGATTCAGCCGAGTTTTACACAGGTGTGATTCAAGGAGCATGGTGGTTCTCTTGCGAGGGAGACCAGTGCCGGGGCTGGAGATTCAAGGTGTTGTGTTCCATTTGGCATTTGAAAAGGGTACACCCTCAAAAAATGGTCAGTCGATATAACTTAGGATTGAGGACTCATTGAATGAGTCGATTCAAATCAGATGTCGTGTGGGTTGCCTCCGGCCAGGAGCGCTTGTCCAAAGTGCGCTTGGAGCTGATGCGCAACCAGGACCGTGGCTTTCCGTGCCGTGGGGATGAGTATGTTTTTCATGGGGGGGGGGGATCCAGCAAACCAACAGGACAAAAGCTGCCATTGAAGAATTGGGTGTCTCCCAAATGGGCGTTGTTGGCTGTTCCAGTTTAGTGGAATCCTGAGCTTTTCGAGGAACCCGGTGAAAGCCGTCAGGCCATTTTCTGAGCCAAATGCCTCACCTGTCTTCCAACCCTTCAACTCGATTTGCATCTTTGAGAACCTTGATTTCTCGCCTGCACAGCACGTTGAACAGGTCACTCACGGATTCACATCTCCCTCATCCGTCCAAAGGATTCCTGGAATGTACAAACTCATATGGACCCTTCTTCTGGGTATTCCTTGCGCCCATGAGGGAACCCCTACTTGGTGGTTTGGGGATTTGAACCCCTGCTTTTTGTATAGGGTAAATGGAAAACACACATTCCGGAACACCTCCAAACCAAAACTCCAATCCACTCTGTTTGAGGGAAGTCAACCCCCCCACCCCCCACCACCCAACAAAAAGCAAGTCCAACCCAAGCCACACGTTTTTGTAGTTCGAAGGAAGCTGAACCCCCAACCTCTCCCCAACCCCTCCCCCCCAAAGTTGTCTTTGCTCACATGTGTTCTGCCTCGTGCTTTCGGGTTCAGCCAAACCAACCCCCCCCCCCCCCCCACCCCAAAGTGCGGGAGCCACGGCGCCGCCCAGCCGCGCGGCCCTGGGAGGCAGAGACCGACGAGTGCCGCCTCAAGGCGCAGCAGGCGCAAGAGCTGCTCACGGAGCTGAAGGCTGGGACCAGATTGCTCTGTGGGTGCAAGGCGGTTCACAACGGGGAAGGCTGTGGGTTGCAAGGTTTGAGCCATAGGAGTACCTCTTAAAACCACAAAACGTTTCTCAGCTTTTTGGGTAACATGGGCTATTTCTGTCTGTAAAAGATGAGAACTTCCCCAGGGCGCAAGGAGTTTTAAGCGGTAAGGTGGGTGCCTCATCTTTGGTTTGTTCTGTTTGGTCTTCGAATTACCGTGGATGGACGAATCCATTTCGCACCTGGGAAACCATGCTTGACACCATCACGTTTGTTCATATTTACGTTGGGGAATGAAGTCATGGTTGTTGTTGGGAAACATTGTAATTACATTTTGCTCATTGTGGTTCAGTGGTTGAAATCCAACCACATAGCTGCAAAACAATTATATTTTTTGCTCCCCTTCCAACGTGAATCAAGCCCCCAGCCCAAATTGCATTTTTCCTTGGGTTTGCTTGGGCTTGGGAAACCCCAGGAAAAAGTTGGGGTTCTCTTGCTGGTGCGAGAGATGCAGGGAATGAGACATTGAATGACCCCAAGAAAACCCATCCAACCGGTGGTTTCCTTTATTTCGGAAATCCCCAGGTTCATTCTCTCATTCCCTGCTGAGCACCAGCAAGTTTTTGGTGCCTTGTTCTTTTTTAATTACGAAATCGGACCCTTCAACATGGCGCAACAGTTTTGCCTGGTTCCCTTTAAAGACTGACCCCAAAATGGGGAACCCCCCCAAAAAAGACACACCCATATATCATGTAGCCATGAAGAGGGGCGTCTTTTGTTTCCTGTTGGTTTCCCCTTAAAGACGGGCCACACACGCCGTGGTTTTACAAAGGTCTGTTTTCTTTTTGGGGGGGGGGTCGGCTTAGGCTTGAGCAACCAAAGGACACACACACGGGCCATTCCCCCTTTTTTCGGGTTGGGAGCCCGCCGCCCAGCCGCTGGTGTCAGACTCTCGGGCTCTCTCGCTCGAGGCCCTGGACCCGGACGACGAGGCGCCGAGGCAGCGGCTGCTGGAGATGGCCAAGAAGCTGGCGGACGCCAAGCTGAAGGCGGGAAGCGCGTCCGGCCAGGGGTTTGGTTCGGTTTCAGCCAAGGGAAGAGAGACAAGGAAGCCAAAAGACGGAAACCAAGGGACAGGCCCAAGCAAAACCTAAGTATACGAGCCCATGCCTTTTTCTTGTTGTTTGATATCTGCTACAGGGGATGGTTTTTGTCCCCGACTCCGCTGGTTAGAACTCAGTCTTGGGGTCTTAGGTTGCCCAATCGTCGCCGGGTTGATCAATAGGGCCCCATTTTAGAATACTGTTGAGGGGATTCTTTATTTTTTGGGACTCAAGCCCCAACAACTCCTCCAAACAGGGGGTTGGGAGTCAACCGCTTGGCGGTATCACAACAGGACCATGTTCCAGTCTTTTTCCAGCGGAGGCCGACCTTTATGAGTCCCTCTTGGGCGACTTTGCGTAAACTTCCTCCACCAAACAATCGGATACGCCCCTGATTAAGATGGCACCCCACAACACGAACAAACAATTAGCAGGGGGAAGGAGGCTCCTCTCACTCGGGGGCTTTCATCTCGCAAGAGCGCATGTGAGTAGAACCGCGACCGTGTAAAGTGGCAGCAGGACCTTCAGCGCACCCATGCCACTGCAGCGCTTTTGCCGCCATTCTTGATATGGTTGGTGTCCAAACTTCCTTGCATGTGCACCGGAGTTTTTTGCCAAGTAGGGTTCAAGTAGCTTTCGGCCTTGGCTTAGCCAGTTGTCCGCCCTTTTGCGTTGTTTTGGTCGTTCTGGTTGTTTATGGGATGCGCAACCCGCTAGACAAAGGCATCTCATGTCTCTCACCAAAAGCAGTGAGAGAGACTATTTCACTCAGGAAGAACATGGATTGGGGTCGGGGGCTTCGATCTCGCTTGCGAATGTGTGGAGTAGGCGGTTCTACTAACTGGCCTTATCTAGGTTCCCCAGTAGTGCCCTTTTACCCTTTTTGGGGGGAGGGTTCACCCTCTCTACTGGAGGACCTAGGTATGGTTGTAGTGAGGCCTTAAGCCTTCAGAACCTTGGTAGACCCAAAGCTCCACGTGTGGGTACTCACTTGGCTTGGGGTCCCGGCGGCAGCGGCAAGCGGAGCCAGGAGTTGCAGCACAAGCGCAGCATGGAGATCGCGCAGGCGAGACCCGATGTTGGGTTCCGTTGGAAGACGCCGAAACGGAAAGTTCCAACGAGACACCTCCAGTCATGGGGGTTGTTGGGAAACACTTTTTACATGTTTGCTTCTTGTGGTTTAGTGTTTGAAATCCCCACTTAACTGCTAATATTCATGCGTTTTGCTCCCCTTCCAACGTCAACCAAGCAGTTGGTAGCCTCTTGCGGGCAAATGTCCAAAGCCTCCATGATAGTGTCTTTCCCAGGAGGGGCTCCCCTTTTTGGACACCCATGTCCATGGTCAGCTTGGCATTTGTCTTTGACAAGGGGACTAGCCACCAGGTGTCAACCACAGAAATTAGAAGCGCGAGCGCGTTCCAATGGGGCAATGTCATGTTTTGACACAGGCTCACAGCGGAAGATCGGACTGTGGACCGCATGCCAAATCGGTGAAACCTCCTTTGGACGGTGTTGAATGGAAGACCGAAACGGAACCTGCCAGCTTTGGGACAGTCCATTTTCAGAGCATTTGCTACCCCAATCATGTTGATAATGGGTTTCAACTTTCGATAATGGCTGCCAACCATCAATCAGTGTTTGCATGGTTTGCAAGGAGCTGGTGTCAGTGTTTATTTTTGTTTATTTGCCTGCTTGCTCGTGTGCTTGCTTGCCTGCTGGTTTGCTGGTCTTCTTGCCTGGCTGCCTGCCTGCCTGCCTGCCTGCTTGCTTGCTTGCTTGCTTGCTTGCTTGCTTGCTTGCTTGCGTGCCTGCCTGCCCGCTCCTTGCCGGCTTGCTGGCTTGCTGGCTTGCTGGCTTGCTGGCTTGCTGGCTTGCTGGCTTGCTGGCTTGCTGGCTGGCTGGCTGGCTGGCTGGCTGGCTGGCTGGCTGGCTGGCTTGCTTGCTTGCTTGCTTGCTTGCTTGCGTGTGTGCTTGCTTGCTTGCTTGCTCGTTTGTTTGTTTGTTTGTTCGCTCGTTGTTTGCTTGCTTGCTTGTTTGTTTGTTTGTGCGTTCGTCCGGCCGTTCGTTCATTCGTTGCTGTACATGCGTTGGCGGCCCCCATTTTCAACCAGGAGCCTGATCTTGTCCGTGCAAAGGTTCTGGGCATTTGAAATTATTCCTCCAGGTTTCATGGGATAAGCCCCTGACTTCGAGTAAGGACATTTAGCCCTTCACCTCTTCCAAACCATCTTGCTGTATTTATGGCAAGTCAATTTTGCCTTGACCCTCGCCTTTGCAGCTTTCTTGGTTTTCGAACTACTGTGGATGGACGAAACCATTTCGCAGCACCTGGTCAACCATGGTTTACACCATCACGTTACACGTTTGTTGATATGTACGTTGGGGAACATTCCTTTGCTTAAGAGCATTTTTTATTTTCCCGTGCTGGTTTTAAAGGGACTCCATCACTACTGGACATATGTTTATTTTTTTCAGGGGGCGCACAAGCAAATGGACGCACTCCATCCGCAGTATCGGCACATTACCTCCACCTCGCCGGGGTGAATCCACGCGTGGACTCCTCAGGAGCAGCACCAGCAACTGGAGAAGGCACGACAGGCGGGACCGACGGACCGCTCCGAGAGCCGCTTCGGAGATCTTTCCGGAAGTTCGGCTCGCCGATTTGTCGCGGGAACGAGGGATGTGTGAGATGAAGGTCGTTGATATACAGGAGATTGACTTGTTTCAGGTTTGGGATCAACCACCTGGTGCATGACAAAGTCTCCATCCCCTCTACTTTCTGGGGTTGGGTAAAAGTGGCTTAAGCAGCCAAACCCTGGTACTCTATTGGAGAGGGAATGCTAATTTGCCCAAAATAAAGCTTTTCAGGAGTGACCTTAGGGGCGCTAGCCCGGACAGCTTCTCATGTCTAAAACCCTCCTACTGAGGTCCTAAGAACCCTTCCTGGGGTTGGGCGGGGGGTGCTTTGGTATCCTCCCTAGCCCTCAGGAGCGTCAGGAGAGAGCAATGGATTGACATGCCATGTGCTTCAAGTCAAGGGAGGTGCGTCTGGTCCAGGTGGATGAGAAAGAGATTCAGAGCCTGCAGCGGGAGGTGGCTCAGGCGGAATCCAAGCTGGCCAACCAGGAGCTGCTAGGAAAATAAACCCTTGTCTGAAGTTTGGCCAACATATGGCTGTAGATCAAAACCAATGGGATCCCATTTTGGGGTAGGTGCACTGCCCATGTTTGTCTATTTTGGTGGGGGTTGGGATGTTCCTGGGGGACGATCTGGACTTTGACCCATGGCCAGACAACACCTGGTTATTTTGGCGTTTTGGGACATTTCCCATTTTTTTCTTTCTTCCCCCAGGGTCACGGAAATTAACCCTTGTCTGCAGTTTGGCCAACATATCGAGTAGTGTATGATCAAGCGTTTACAGTAACAGCATACTTTCACTGTGATGCCCACAGCAACCTGTGCCCTGTTTTGGTTTGTCCTTGAGAGGCGCTTGGGGTGTTTTTTTGTGTGCTTGGTCAGGAGAATTCTATGGAACTGCGTCTTATATAAAATAGGTTCCCCTTCTTGGTGTCCCTCTAAACCAAACCCACGAATTGGTTCCTTCGAAAAAGGGACACTCAAGCATTTTTCAAGTGGCAAGACGGGGATTTAACACCGATAGGATCTCCGGCTTGATAGGAACCATGAGACACACGATCCAGCTAATGTGAGATAAGCCAAAGCCGAGCGAGCTTTGCAACAAATCAACTCAATGATATGCTTGTCGGGTTGCGCTAGTGGGGTTAGTTTGGCTTAGCGCTGGGTAACAAGTGCAGTGAACCACATGTGTGTATGTGTTTCTGAAGCTACTTGCTTTGGGAAGCTGAGTCTGATTTGGGGATTCCATATCCCATGCGAATCTCTACATTTCTCTACTTTCCGATGACCATAATGAGCAACAACCTGTTTTGACAGTGCATCCTCTGTGTGCTGCAGTTGAAAGAGAAGCTTCACGGCACCATAGTAGTAATGGTGTTTCAAAACAGGGGCCAAAATGGTGGTGTTGCTGTTGGTTCTCCTGCTGGCAATTTTCAACACATGAAGCCTCATGCTTGCAACCAGCCTGAAACCTCAATATCTGGCCCATACTATAACGTTGACCCCCTCGGTTTGTTAATAGGGGAGTGTCCCTGGGTTTAGTGGGGAATCATCACCTTTGGACTGGAGCCGCCTGTTAATAACCTGGGGTTTATTGATATGGGGTCAACATTAGCCAAATAATTGGTGGTTTGTGGAGATGTCCACAAAAAGGAAACCCAATGAGGATGGGTGACTTTCCCGTCCAGAGCCCACTTCGAAGGGTGTCCCGTCTCACATGGAGCGTCCAAGGCCTTTCAAACTCAAGAAAGAGGCGAGTTGGAACATGTCTTCACCGTTGGCGTCTTTTCGGCTTAGGCTTTTAGGTCTTTCTGGTTCTGTTCATTTTTAGTCGGGTGTGTGTGTGTGTGTGTGTTTTGCCGTTAAACAAAAAAGGTTGTACCCCCCCCTCAGACGGAGCCTCCGAAACCGCTGGCCGAAGCCGCCTCAAATGAGGCGGCGGGGAGCGAAAGAAACGGCGAGGAGCAGCAGTGGCGCGCCAAGGTGCTGGAGGCGCAGGGCGTGGCGCCAGTGCGCGCCACCAGCCAAGCCAACCAGGCGCCGAGCGAGGGGGCGAGGGGGCAAGGGGGTGGGGGAGCGGAGGGCTGGGTTGGGGAGAGGGCTGGGGCGGGGGAGGCCGGGCTCAGGGGGGGGGTGGGGGGTTTTGCCAAACCGGCGATGAACTTACTTCAAACAAAAGCAGGATGGTTGAATGGGGAGTCCTTGGCTCCATGTTCCAAGAGGACACCGCGAGGAAGTTCACAACTGCATTTCACCCACCTGGAAAAGGGCACCCCTTTCCACTCCAGTTCAACAAAGCAATGTTCAGTGGCACTTTTTGCCATTTGATCTGGTGGATTCTCCACGAAACATGCAGATCACTGGGTTGAAAGTGAGTGTTGTTCTCTGAGAACGCTTGCCTACGACCCGTGACAGGGGGGAATCGGATCCCTTGGGGGTTGCTCAACAGATGCCTGGCCCCGTTCAACGGCTTTCCTTCTCTTCCCCGAATTGGCAACCTGCTTTCATTTTTGTGGGGGTCGGATCAGTCTGACCTGTCGCTTGCCCATTCTGAAGCCACAGATCCTTATTTCGGAAAAAAAGGGGAAACAAAAAAACACCACACATCCAAAGGGACGCGCTTGCAAATGTTGCAAAGCGGCAGATGGTTGAAACGGATGAAAGCGAAATCTACTCCTAGATTTTTTGGTTTCCAACAACCAGAGCATGCAATTTGACCAAACCCACCAAAACCACCCCAAAAACCCTGCTTTTTGAGGCCACCATAGAGGCGATGGAACAGCTGCAGGGAAAGGTGGCCGAGCGAGATGCCAGGAGAAGCCCTGCGGAGGGGGGTGCGGTGCATGGGCGGACTGCGGATGCTTCAAATCCAAATTTCCAGAAGTCGCACTGGGAGATATGAAACTATGACTAGGTCCCCCAGCAGTTGGTGCCCGTTTTAACCCGTTTCTTTTTGGGTTGGGAGGGTTACCCTACTAAAATTAAGACGTCCTGAAAGAAGAAACGGTACCCTTATTCGAGCCTCTCTACTGGAGGACCTAGATGAGGGTGTCAAGAAATCAGATCCGATCCCACAGGGTCTCTGAAGCTCCGATTCTTGGAACGCCCCGCCCCGAGAGGCCTTAAAAAGGATTCTTCTTCCGGTCTGTGTTCAATCAAATGCAGAATGCCCGAATACCTTTGGTTGGAAAGCTGATTTTGGGTGCTTTTGCTTTCGTGTAGATTCCAAACACCGCCAAATGACGTATGCTCTTTCCTCAATTCAATTCGCAGGATGACCACATTGTTCCCGGGTTTGAAGTTGTTTTGGGGCAAACCATCTAAACGCGAGAAGGAGCCCAGCGTCCGCAAAAAGAAGGTGCACTTTGCCCAGAGGGCAACCGGACCAGATGGATGTGTGGCATCGAATGGGGATCATCGGTTTGGGCAGGGTTCTTGTTGTGAGCAGAAAAAAGACGTTTTGAGCAAAAAGAAAGTCACAATGAGTACAAACAAGGTTTGTACTGTGCGGAAAAAGTTAGGATTTCGAGAGATCCCCAAAAGGGTGCCCCTTTTTGTTGTTTTGGTTGGCGTTTGTTGGTTTTGTAGGGGAAGACTCGTGGGGCGGTAAAATTCGGTGGCATTCAGCGCCCGGAAGACTAAGGGAACACTCGTGGGGTGAAAAAATCATTCGGTTTTTATTCGGTAAAATTCGGTAAGAATCAGAGCCCGGAAGACTCAGGGAATACTCGTGGAGTAGTAATTCGGTAAAATTCAGCGCCCGGAAGAGTAAGGGAAGACTCGTGGGGCGGTAAAAATTGGTAAAATTCAGCGCCCGGAAGACTAAGGGAAGACTCGTGGGGCAGTAAAATTCGGTAAAATTCTGGGGGTTCTCAGCTTTAGAGTCAGAATATGGGGTTGTTTCCCTTCACCACTTGCGGTGACTTTGATCATGGTAAAACAACGGACTACAGAAATAGACAAACCAGAGAAAAAAGGGTACCCTTATTCTAAGCTCTCTACTGGAGGACCTAGTGGATTCCGTTTCGAGCAGTCCTTGGAGGATCGCCATCCTCGAGTCGGACATGGAGAAGGCCAAGACCGAGCGCGAGAGCGCTGTGGCGGAGGAGAGGATGAAGGCGCCAGAGTGGGAGCGCACCAAGGGCCTTACCCAAAATAACTCAAAAGGATTTGGTCCTATTTGTGGTTTTGCAAGAAGCATAAGGATGGTCAAGCTGAGTTTATGACTTTGGTTTATCTGAGCAAATCCTCGTTTGGTGCATTGGAGTTGTGGAAGCTGGAGCAAAGAACCAGGGGGACGGGCACCAATGTTCCCATCCTTATGGGGAAACTGTTGTAACTTTGTCCGTGCATCATCTGAATTTAAAATGTGTTGGTCCGGTGCGGAAGCGAAGAAGCTTGTCGTTTTTTTACTTGAGTTACACTGCCAAGAGACCCCTTTTGGGGGTAAAGCAACATGAAGTTCCCTTGTCTGGGAACAAGCTATCAACAAAATGATAGCTTCCATGATAAATTGTCTAACTCAAGTTGCAAAGGCGTGAGGAAGTATTGCGCTGCAAGATCAAGCTTTAGCACACCTCCAGTTCAAGAATGAAGCTTTCAAGATTTGATATCCCGAAAGTTATTGTCAACAATTGATGACTACATGTTTGCTTTTGGGAGGGTACCCTCATGCAGCTGATTGGAGATGCACATCGGGTATACTCACCCAAACTGCTATGAGGAAAAAGAGGGGGAGGATTCACTCACACAAAATATAGACAGTGGCTCATTCGCTAAACGCAGGTACCCAAAGTGGAGACGAACCTTTCTGCAAACAATTTCTACGGTAAACCTTCATATCTGTTGGTAGAAGCAAACTAGGTTCCCCAGTAGTGCCCTTTTACCCTTTTTTTTTGGGGGGGGGGTTCCCCTACTAAAATAGACTACATAAAAAAGGTTACCCTTATTCTACCCTCTCTACTGGAGGATTTGGGCACAAATTCATGTATGTAGCCTTTGACCTTTCTTGTCGCTCGATTTCGGTAGGAACACCTACGACCTCTGGTGCGTTGGTGCGGATGTTGGACAAATTTTAACCATTGATGGTATTATGGTTCCTTGGTGCGTGGGGAAATATAGAACAGGTGGAAGTTGGAGCTTTCAATGATTGATGGCTCCATGTTGTTGTTGTTTTTGGGGAGGGTAACACCCGAATTCTAGCAACAATCTAGGGGTTGGTTCCCCATTCTTTTCAACCATTGTTCTTTTCGAAAACCGGATCCGTTCTCCCTGAGTTTCTGGAGGTTTTCTAGAAAGATCCGGATCACTGGCAAGAATGGGGGAGGTACCCCTAGAGCTTTGTTCAGACCCCAACAAGATGAGGATGCTCCCCAAATATGGGACTCCCTAGCCCCAACCATTTGTTGCAGTTGCCCCAAGCTCGTTGGTGACCTTCAGAAAGTTTTTGGTGCACGATCGCTGTCCAGGATCGCTAGTCCAAGGTACCCCCAGAAATAGGAGACATAGGTGTCCTTTTTTGGTTGTTTCTTGCTCGAACAATAGATGGGTTTCGATTCCTGGTTTCGATTCCTGGTGGTTGAGTCATCTACCAGAAAAAAACCCATCGATTTCCAACCGAAAAGGACGCCTATGAGAGAGCGGCTTCTTGGCCGAGCGAGATGCGCGGAACCGAACCCCGGCCGCGCGAAGCGCATCGCGCATCGCCGCGCGCTTCGAGGGGCTGAAAGTCTGAAAATCTCCGGCCAGAGGCGTGCCTTTTTGGGGTGATTCGGGCTAGAAATAGATGGGACTGGTTTAGGTTGGCTTTTATTCGATTGACCAGGGCCATCTATTTTCCTAAGGGCGCCTATGCTGACGACTCTTTCGATGGAGAAAGGGTGCGGAAGTTGCTTTCAAGGCATGATGTCTCTGTTGGATTGGTCTGGGGGAGCAACAATTCACCAAGAGACCTCAGCAGAAGTTGGAGCTTTCAAATTCCGTACTTCTTGGGAACCGAGTTGATTCCAGTGTGTTTCATGGGAAGCAACAAATTTGCGGAAGTTGGAGCTTTCAACTTCCCTGTTTCTCCGAGTTGAATTCATGTTTTTTTGTTTCCACGGGGACCAACCAATCTGGCTATAGGTGCGGAAGTTGGAGCTTTCAAATTGATAGTTGCTTACTTCCCCATCTTGGGGGTTGGTCTAGGGGTACCTTCCCCACGATTGAAAAGAATGGGGAATCAACCCGTGGATCATCTTCAAACTTCGGCGAGAGGTGCGGAAGTTGGAGCTGGAGTTGAACTTGCTTTCCGACGGCGACACCTTGAAGCTCCGCCACCAGCTGCGTTCGGAGCACGACGCGGACGTGGCGCAGATCTCGCAGGCGGCGCAGGCGCGGGGTGGCAAAACCTTTCCACAGCGAGCATACGAAAAGCTGATTTCGTCTTCCCTCGTTTGTTGGTTTGTTTGCGCTGCTTTGGAGGTTAACATGGCTGTTGTTGGGAAACATTTTACATTTGTGCTTATTGTGGTTTAGTGGTTGAAATCCAAATCCACTTAACTGCTAACATTTGACAATTGTTGCTCCCCAAACCCAACGTCAACCTAGGCTAACACGCTAAGGGTTGGTTTCCCATGATCTCCAAGAACCGGGGGCTCAAACTCGGATGTCATACAGCCAGTGCAGGGTTTCCGAGTTTTGTGGTCTTTCTGCTTTTGAAGGGAGGGTTTCGCTGCAGGGGTACTTGCAGAAGAAGGGTGCCTGGAAAGGGACAGCCCTTGAAATTTGATGTGCAAAGTGGGGATTTTGAGAAAGGGAGGTTGTAGGTGTATTTGTTCTTTCGACTCAAGTACCCAAAGAGTTGTCCTTTTCTTTATGGCCACTAGGGGGTCTGGGCCCGTGTTGGTTTGTTTTTGAAGCCCTCTAAAAACAGGTCAAACCACAGAAGTCTTATGATAACGTGTGGACCCCAAAACCACCTTAAGAGTCGGTATTGCTTGGAGTCCTTGTCCTTAAAACCCCCTGTTTATCCAGCAACAAGCTGTCACTCGTATGCACGGGGTCGGAGTCTGGCACTTGAAGGGACCTTGAAGAGGAATTTCGCACCGGCTTGGAGGATCCTCTTTTTTTGCGAGGCCAGCCGATAGATGGTGGTTGTTCGGCCATTTGCAGCGTTGGATAAAGATCAGCCCTGCAGAGGGGCTCAGCCCCTGAGTCATGTATAGTGAGGGGCCCAGCGCGCATCAAGCGGGGGGGCCGCTTGGTATCTTCATTTTGCACGTTTGTTTGCTAGGTAACGAAAGCAGGAAGTGAGAAACCCCATTTGTATGTAGGGAGAGGTTTCTTCACATGACCGAAGGGTCACTCATCCAGATTGGCACGCACCTAGCGTTCGAAATCTGAAGGGTATATCCTCTCCCACCAGTTCACATGCAACCTGACCTTTCGGGGGGTGGTTGTGAAAAGGACAGGGTCGAACGTCAGGGTTCCACGTTGATGGGTGGGAGGGCATGTAGAATCTTGAACTCAGGCCTCCCAAGATGGAAGTCGGGCTCCGCTTGAAACTAGGTCGGCTACAGGGGATGATGCAACCAGCAGGTGGTGCCATCTGCTTGCACCCAACAGTATAGATGCAAAAACTACAAAACGTATACCAAAGGGAATCAGCCCAGCCCCCCCAAAATTGGAAATCATGAGACTGTCTGGTGAGAGTCCTGGACGTCATACTTAAGACCAGTTCAGCGGTCCATCAAAAAGTTGCAAGATACTTTTTCGGCCAATCCAGGAAGTGCGGTCAATTTCCAAAAATCCAAGACTGTTTCGGCTCAGGAAGTGAGGTCCGCCGCCGGTCCGGTCGCCGGCCGGTTTCGGCTCGGTTCGCTTCGGTCCGGTTGAGGCCTCGGTGCAGACCTTGCAGGAGCTCTTGGACCAGGCGGAGGAGCCTGGAGCGGGCGGGCGGGACTTGGTCTCTCGGCAGTTGTGACCCCTTCCCCCAGGAAAAGCGGCAAGAGGCCCCAATCCAAAAAGGTCAAGGCAAAAAGCCGTCCAAAAGCTTGACCCCCCAAAGTTTACCAGGAACGGGGGGTACAGACTCATGCTGTGGATGATGTTGCGAAATCCGAGACCGCGCCACTTTGGAGCCATGGTTGAAACCATTATCATAAGGTTTCTTGGGTATTTATACATGGTTGTTGTTGGGAAACATTTTGACATTTTTTTTGCTTATTGTGGTTTAGTGGTTGAAATCCAAATCCACTTAACTGCTAAAATTTGACAATTTTTGCTCCCCAAACCCAAGGTCAACCAAGTATAGGGAATCGAATCATGCCGGGGATTCTTAGGTCGTCAGGTCTGGTCCCCTTCCCCCAGGCAAAACAGTGGGCGCCGCGGGGCCAAGGTTATGGCAACCTATGTTCCGGAAAAAGGAAAGAAACCGAGTGAGGAAATCCGCTCGCACCGCGGTTCATGAAACGGTTGAAACCATGGCGTTTCTTGGTATTTACGTTCGGGAATCGAATCATTCCAGGCTTTCTTGGCTGGTGCGAAATGGATTTCGTCCATCCACAGCTGTTCTTTTCGGAAAATGGATGGCCCTGGTAGATGATTGAACCACCAGGGAAACCAGGGCCCTCGATTCTTTTTTCAGCGGGCTAAGAAGGACACCTGAGCCACAATCAAAACCGATTCGGGTAGATGAAGGTTAGTAAGGGCCAGTCCCAGCCGGAAGAAGGTTGCGGATATCCGCCTTCTTAATTCTTGAAGCATGGTTCTGGGTTCACCATTTAACAGGTTTTGGTTGTGACTCACCTGTGGTTCCCGAGAACCTTCTGAGGGTTCCCATCCATCCAGTTCCTGGGATTTTAGATATGTTTCGTTAGTTTAGTGGTTGGATGTCCATTTAATCCGACTAGAAGTTAAACTTGGGCGTGTCGGTTTTTAGAGTTGCTACCCCTCCCACATTGCCATGGCACCTGACAGAAGTTTCCTCCAGGTGGAAACTGATCTTCCAGATACGTTCCCACAGTACCAGGTGTGGATTGCAACTTAGCTTATGCCAGCATGAAAGTAGATGCCACACTTCCCGGTAGATGTGAGTAAGAAAAGGGGATGATGACAGCAACATGGTTCCTGGTGGTTTGCCCTAAAGAGGGCACCCTCGCAAAAGACTATCATAGGTGCCATGGTCGAGACTCCTTCTGTGGGTCTAAGGAGACCATGACCATTTCAAGCAACCCCAAGTGCTCAGGATCTTTTGACCATAGCACACGTTGGGTGGTTTTGAAGGCAAGCCAATTTGCCCATTCTGGTGATGCTTCTATTGTGAGACAACGCCATCTCAATGGGAGGAAGCCCTCCTAAAGTGAACTGATTAGCATTTCCCAGTACAGGGGCAACCACCCCTGACTGGCAAGCCGCGCCCAGTGTCCATGCCTGTTATGCCTGTTATGGCGAGAGAGAGAGAGAGAGAGTAATGTCCTCCGGATGAAGTCGGGAAGCAGTTCTAAGAACGGCTTCCAGCTTGCACCAAAGGACAATCATGTGTATAGCATCCGCAAGAAATCCATGTGAATCATGCGAATTAGACTTTCATTTTTTTTCAAAGGGCCACCCAGCTCCCGTTGGTTTCTCCTCTAAACGGGGACCTCCACCGTTTTTGTCTCTTCGGAAGTCATGTTGCATTTCAAGATTCAAGACAACAACTCAATTTGGTTCGGGGGCAACAACTATTTGTTCGGGTGGGTTTCTGTGTGAAGTTCTTTGTTGCTTCTGGCTGGGTCTTTGCTTTTGGAACCAGGAGCGGCTCAGGTACCAGCAGGAGGAAGCTGCGACCTCCGGCGGGAATTTTAGCCTAGGCCCCCCAGCAATTGGTGCCGTTTCTTTTTCCGTTTCTTTTTTGGTTGGGAGATTCGGTTCCCCTGGTAAAATAGACAAACCAGAAAAAAGAAATGGTACCAACTTATTCTAACCTCTCAAATCTGGAGGACCTAGCCAACTTGCGTCATGAGCTGTGCGTGTGGAGTTGTTTGGCTTGGGCCCCTGCTGGTAGCTGTGGGACCATGTCTTTTTCCAAGCCCCCTGACGTTTGGACATACTTGTTCGGGAGGAGCTAGGGTGACTTCTCTTTTTTTCACGGGGAAGCAAGCTCTGTCGTGGCTCATGTTCTTTGTTGGCCGCATGTGCGTTTAGGTTTGTTGGTTGTTTGGTTCTGTTTAGTTTTGGTGGGGGGCTACAAAGAACAGTTTTTTGCTATATACCATACCAAGGGTTTTAAAGACAAGGCATGGGCCTACATACGAACTGCCAGTCTGAGGGCAAGAGGCGAGGCACCACGTTTAAACCAGGGACGAAGACCACCCAATTGTCCACTCCGTTTGCGGGAAGCGTTTGTGATGTGGGCAGTTGCTCATGGTATCAAGGGGCGAGCGTGAACCCGAACAAGACCAAAAGCTCTGGGGAACCTCCGCATCCCTCCCCCCCCCCACAAAAATCATGGGTGCTGTTTAGGGATTGATCATGGGAATTTCCTGACATTGCGAGGCGATTTGTCGCCAGTCTTTGGTTTGTGGCCCCTCGCCACCCGGACCCCGCATTTGTCACCCCGACTCCCCGCATATCAAGTTCCGCGTTCCGCGTACCGCTGGATCACATCCAAGGCGCCAATACGAGAAGCAGTCTGAGATGCAGAGGAAGTACGGGGAGGAGATTTGTGAAGCTGCAGTCGAGACGTCTTCGGTGGCACTCAAATGGGACAACCCCGAATGCACCAGGGCTTTATTAAACCTTTGAAATGAAAACCAAATTGCTGATAAACGCCTGCTGGAGTGTTTTGCTGCTGCTGCGTGTTTGTCAAAATAGGGCAACTGTTTCCTTTTGCTTTCCCTTACTACCAACCAAGGGGTTTATCCATTTACACTCCCACGTATCAACTTATTTTTGCCATTTTTGGGAAGAACCCCTGGTTGATGTTGATCCTTGATTCGGACTGGCGAAACACCCCGAACCCAGATACATCCCAGATCTCTAGACAGCCGCTCTGCAGGGGCTGCCTCCCAAACAACCCAAAATTCAGGTTGATAGGATTCACAAGCGCAATCTGGAGATGCGACTTAGTTGGGCGAAAGTAGATAGCACAACTTCAACATAGTGGTTTAGTCATGCCGCATCGGCCCGACACTTGCCCAAAGGAAGCTTTGTGCCATCTACTTTAACCCTGGAAGTGGACTGAACCAAGCCGGATTTATTTATTTTTAAGGGAAAAAAAGAAATGGGAAAACAAAAACGGAATGTAGGCCTGTCTCCAACTTAGGGGACCCCCTTTTTGGTGTGGTTTCCCTTGTGTGGAGTACCCCAAAAGAGACAACCCCGGTCGTCTCAATCCCAGGAGACGCTCCAACTCCAGTGCTCCGGCGGAGTTCGGGATGGGCTCGGCTTCCGTGGGTTTGTCATAGGATTTGGCGCCCTAAATGCTTGGCTGGATTCCTTTTGGTTTCCCTTAAACACCCACCAAAGCGGAAGTCTCCGCCATTTTGCGACCCATTGAGCCAACTGGGTAAGTGAAGGGTTCCCCCCATATTCATCAACCAACCAGTGTATTAATAGGGCCCCAGCCCCCATCCCTTTCCAGAAGGAAAGTAGTCCTCAAGAAATTTGTGCACTTGCGTGTTTTGTTGGGAGGGTACCTGCACAGTGTGCGGGTTGTGCTTGCCGGGGGTTTTACCCCGGTCTCTTGCGGGACATGTTTGGGCATGGAAGCCTAAGCACGTTGGAGCCCATGTGTTTGGCATTGTACAACCGACCCCACCCTTTTTGTTCCTTACATGGCTTCCTTAGGCTACCTAGGTCCCCCAGCAGTCTCCTTTTTACCAACTTTTTTTGGGGAGGGTTCCCCTACTAAAATAGACAACAGAAAAAGGGGCGGATCTGTTTTGTTCCGAGCCCATTGAGACGTTATGGACACTTAAAGGCCAGGTTCTGACAATCCCCGACCCAACCCTTCTCGTATGTAGCTTTATACACATGATGTTCCCTCAGACCAACCACCAGTGGAAGTAGTGGTCCATGCTTCCATGCTTTGAATTACATCTTGCCTTGAGGATGGTTGGGATGTAGTGAACGCATTGTTTGAACGTTGAGTTCGGATTGATTAGTCCTGACCAGTTAGGGTCAGGGGAACCACCATGGTGTCCTTACTGAAAGGGACTGAATACGGTCCTCAGGATTAATCCGATATTCTGCTTTTGTTTAGCGAGCCCTTATTTCAGGTTTTGGAAATATGGAAAACATGCAGGATATTAGCATTGGGGCGAATGCGTGTTCTCCTGTGCAGTTAAAGACATGTTTGGCCGGCGGTTTTCCTCTCACGCGACGGCTGGCTAAGAATCTGGCCTCGTTGGGCCATGCGATGCAATTGAGCGCCCCCTGGTCGTTTAAGTAGGTGGTTCTACTACTTGTTGGTTCTCAGCAGAGAGGCAATGACCCCATCATTACACCATCCCCTATGGTGTCCTTTGAGAAAATCCCCAGATTCATTCCCAACACCCTGCGCCATTCCCCAGCACCAGCAAGACTACCGAAAAACACAAGCCAATTGTGTCCCGCTCAGTGCCTTGTGCAAAACTTTGCGGTCGTACTCAATTTGGAGGGACATAGGACTCTCTAGATGTCCCACGAAATTCCAGGAGGACTCTTTAATGTTATCCTTGCATATTGTGGTGTCAATAGGGCCCCTGCCAATGTTGGTAGCTCGTGTTGGCTCCCTTGAAACGGCAGGATCCCTTCTTGGCATGGGTTGATTAAAGGGGTATCCAACAAATTACCCTCTTACTGGTGGTCAAATCACTCCACAAGTCCCCAAGTCATTTGAAAAACCCTCAAACTCCAGCAACTTTCAGGAACCCAATGTTCCTTCCCTCCCTCCATGGAACACGAAGCAATAGCTTCGGTAAGGCCATGTTGTTCCGTAGCGCGGGACCAAGAGGGGACCAGACAAAACGGCCCTTTTAAACGATTTCCCTCTCAAAGGGACCTTCTCGCGGGTGGGTTTCCTCTCAGAGGGAGCCTCGTTGAAAAGCGTGGGCAGGAAGCTACGGAAGCTACGGGTCGGCAGTCCAAAGCTCTGCGATCGCCCAACATAATGAGCTCACTGAAACAAGGTCACCCAACTGGGGTCATTGTTTAATCACTGTTTCTGGGGGTCAAAGTCAATATTTGGGGTTGTTTTCCTTTAAATCTATCATGGGGGGGACTTGGGAATCCCAAACGACTCGGCGATTTCCCTTGAGCTATAGCCTTGAAAAAGCAGCCGAAAGCAACCTTCCAAAGAGCCACGCCCAAAGAGACACGCCCAGATGTCCAGGTTGCCGCTTGAACCGCTTCGATTTCTTGCGGCAAAAACGTGAGGCAAGAGATTGCGGCGCTGCGACAGGACCTGGTCCAGGAGGGACCGGGACCGATTCGCACAACTCGGCAGCTGACCAGAGCTTCGCGCCCCCAAAAAGATCGTCTAGGTCCTCCGCTATTGCCCCCTTTACCCTTTTTTGGGGGAGGGTTCCCCTACTAAAATAGACTACGGAAAAAAGTCGGTACATTTTAGCATCTCTACTGGAGGACCTAGTCGTCCACATGTTTGCAGGGGAAACTGTTTCATTTGTTCGGGTCGTACATGTTCTTGGTTGGGCTGGCTAGGTTTGGTTCACCCGCCTCTCAAGTCATGCTAAGCTAACGATGGAAGAATAGAAGAGGGATAGGCTATGGCTCATTTATTGGATGGTCCTCCAGATTCGCCATTCCAAGGTTCGGTAAAACGAGTACACTAGTGTCCATATGGGGTTGGCCAACTTTCCCAAGAGGGAGCCACTTTCCCCTCTGTCCTCCTGGGTTAAAACTGTTGTTTCTTGTGGACCGTAACTCGCGAAAAACGGTTTACCAGCCCCTCCGCGGGGTTTCACCCCAGCTAGGGGGTCTGGCTGGTTGGTCGCTCGGTCGGTCGGCCGGGCGGCCGCATCCCCATCCCCGGTTGCGCGGGCAGGGCTGGAAAGAAGCGTTCCCCAAGTCGCTAAGGGAAGCAGAGGAGTTGTTGAGATACTTTGAATCCGAAGTGCGCAGACATGCACGAACAAAAATGGTACCAAGCAGCAATCACCCGTGTCCGCTCATGCATTTAGATCCAGATGGCTTTGGAGCCGGGTTAAACCTAGTGGCTTTGATTTGGTGGCAGTTCGGAGTTGCTCGAGGCTGGGGAACAGCTTCCCCGACTTTCAGTTCAGTTGTCTTGGTGGCTCCCAGCCATCCGGTTCCTTAGCCTTTTAGCTTTTTAGTGTTTAGTGGTTGGATGTCCGAATTTACCCCACTAAAGGTTAGTCACCTTAGCGGATCTGAAAACGGATAACCCAGTGGTCCAAATTGAGGTTCAAGATCCTTCGCTTCAGAGGCATCCAGCCCCATCCCTCAACTAGTGCTTAGTGGGTCGGCTAACCGCCCCTCTTCACATTGACATGTGGCCCATGGTAGGGTATCAGGAGAGAGACGTGGAAGCAAGGGGATTCCCCTTTCATGATTTCAAGTTGGGGATGGGCCGAGCGAATTACCTTGGTGGTTTCCAGCCACACCCTTTGACTTTTAGACTTGACACGCAAAGAGTTTAAGTTTTAGCGGGACATCAATGAGCCACTCAGCTAAGACAGATGTCCTGAGCTGGACTTATATTTCCTGGCCGTGCCGTTGAGCGACTCGCGCAGGCCCGCCATCAGAATATCCAAGATGCTGACGCCGACGGGCGCTTAGGGCATTGTCAGAATTGCGACGAAGACTGCCAGACGTCCAAATGAGGTTCGGTCACATGGGTGCGTTTTTTGGGAGGTGTCCTTCTTTGGTGTTTTTGTTGGAAACCAAAAGGACAACCACAATTTATGCCGGGGTCCCCCTAAAAAAGGACACGCTCAAAGTGCACACTGTAACTACATCGGACCAGACTTAGCACCGCGCACTTTAGGAAAGCATAAAGGCAAGGGCGTCACTGCATTTTTCTTTGAGCCGCAATCTGGCGGGTTCGGGAAATTGAGAGTTGGTGCCTCCAAAACGGGCTCAGCAAAAAGAGGGTTGGGAAGTTGGGGGCTGTTGCGGTGTCTTGAAATGGGTGTGGCTCAAAAATAAGGACCCAGGGTTACGCAGGTTTTAGACTACTTCCCCATTTACCAGGGTGCCATTTTGGCCCCTGTTTTTGACCCACAGCCAAATGAGGGAACCCCACCTCACCAGTCCTTTCCCCAAATTCCTGGAAAACTGGGTGTTTTCGGGGTGAGGCTCGACTGAAGCCGCTGCCGCCGGACGAAAGCCGCCCGGAAGCGAGCGGGGGGAAGCGGCAGAACGATGCTCAGTCGTTCAAAGCCGACCCTTTTGACCTTGGGGTTTTCACTTGGCAAATTTTTAGTAGCTGTCCCAAAAAGAAATAACCTGTTGTTTCCAGGTCCTTTGGGCAGGTAAGAGTACGGACAGCATCAACTCCGAAGCTTTGTTTCATAGAAGCATTCACACCTCAAGTTCCCTTGATCGGTTCTATCCGGCCGGACATTTCGAAGCAAGCCGGCGATGGACTGGAACCGAGCGAGTCTTCCACTTGACTCCGAGTATCCTCCACTGGCGCTTAGGCGAATTTGACCGAACGATCAATCCCTGCGTCAAGTTTAAGGGGCTGAGGGACATGGCCGTGCTGTTTTTTTTGGTTCGGGCCACTTTCTGTGATGCCAGAATGGTTGATGCCCCTGACTGGCTACGTTGTCAAAGTGGATTGGCATCACACAGGGGAATCAACCACTTGGGTATCACAAAAAGAGCGATTGTTCGCAACCATGAGATCATCAGAGGGCATCATGCCAGATCGTGCCAGGAGAGTTGTTGGAATACCCTCCCACCAAATGGAACCCACCAGAGGGTCCCTTTCAGAGGAAGCTTGTCTATTGGAAGTCAGGTTCCATGCTAGTGGGTGGGAGGATACATGAATATTTAACTATCGTGCCATATGGGTGTGTCTTTTTAGGGGGCCCCAAAATCCCCAAAATGGTGGCTTTCCTTTTGGTTTCCCTTTGTTGTAGGAAGAGGTACCCTCAACAAAAACAGACACCCATATCACAACACCGAACATTTGCCTTGCTCTAGTTTGGTACCGTTTTTTGTTTTTTTTTGGTCCAGCACCATTCTGGATAATATGGAAAAGCGCCAACAGTTATTGGACATGCCATTGAATTTTCCCTGAGACCTTTCCCAATCACCAACATGACCCATCCAGTTCAGTTGATTGCGAGCGCCATTTGTTTTCAGGGGTCCTTACATTTGCCCATTTGTGTAGTTTGCACATGATTCTGAGGCCAAAGTGAGTGTCTCCTTGGGTGGCGTGGTGCTCAAAGGGAATCCTGCCTCTTGATGGTGTTTGAAACCAACATGAAGCCGTTCTGTTGGTAAGATATTTTGATCCACCTGGGTCCCAAGTCCCACGTTGTTACATTTCGATGGGTTCTCAACCTAATGCGTGGAAGTGTTACTCAAACCATCATTTAACTTGGGTAGTTTTGTCAGGATGGAGCAATCAAAAAACACATTGCCCGGCCGATGCGTGGTTTCAGGTGGGTTTTTTGATGTCTCTTGGAACCGCGGTTTTTTCGATGCATCCTACCGGAACCATGCTCACAAATGGGTGTTTGTGGCTCCTTTCGGTTTCCCTTTACAACCGTTCCAGTCCCCTTTCTTTGAGACAGATCGATGCCTTCCATTTTCTGAAATGAGTATGTCTTAAAATCTGCCCCTGTTCTCCAAACGGGAATCTATCACTGAACCAATCCAAAGCTCCAATTGGGAAGGTGAGGAGTCTGAGGACTAGTCACTAGTCAGGTTGGGGGAGAAGGCTGCCAGGAAGATGTTGGGAAAAACGCAAGGAAGAACCCACCCAGAGGAGAAATCCTGACAAAAAAAAAACACCAGAAATACTTGCAGGAGTCAGGGATTGAACTGTGAGGTACCACCAATCCAAAGCTCCAATTGGAAAATCGGAGGACTAGTCCGGCGTTTTGGGGTTGACTGCGAGGTGTCCACTTGACTGCCATTGGGCAACGGATCTTTAGACTTCAACTTTTCGGTCGAAATCAAGTTGGGGTTTCCACGAAAATTTCCCAAAAGGTGAACCACTTTTAGGGGGGTCTGCAACGAGGTCTCCAGACCTCAAGTTCTGGTCGTTGCGGAAGTTGGAGCTTCCACTCGCGCGCCTCGCGCTTGGCGCGTTTCAGGCGCGCGATTGGAGAGCACCATGGGCTCCATGGACGGTTTCGGGGACCTGGGGGCCGTGGAGGGCAGGCTGCGACAGCACCAGGACCAGGCGAGAGGGACACCTCTCAGGGCGGTGTTTGCGGTGGTTGATTTGAAGGGAGACCAAAGGAGAACCATCATTTTAGGGGTCCTAGTCGCCTTGAGCCCTGGGTCTCCTCTAGAAGGGCATCAACCTCCAGGTTTGAATCTAGTTGTGGATCCAATGGCAAATCCACTGTTTCCCACAAAGTTAAAGCCCAAAGATCCAGCCAAATAGCCATACAGATACTAAAAGACACACCTTTGAGGGAACCCATTGTCCCTGTCATAAATGGACCGACACCTTTATCAGGATATTTGACCAATCGTAGATGAGTTTTGTCCTGGTGATGTTTTAATGTTCACTTCGGGTTACTCTGGAGGACCAGACTTATTTAGCGGTGATTCCGATCTAGTGGAGAATGAGTCCACTGTGCGGGATTCCTTTTACTATGGTCTCTGCGATCCGAAGTTGAAATAGGGGAACTACAGGGGTGGTGATGCTGAGGGGGGAAATTACCCTCTAACTGACAGTTTCATTTGGGACCCAAAAGCGATTCTGGGAGTTGGGGTGATGTAGCGATGTAGGGGGAAACACACCGACGGGGCTGTGGGGTGGGGGGGGGAGGGGGGGGGAGAGGGGGGGGGGGCATATGTCCTTGCTGCGTGAGGTTTTGGGCATTGCCTTTTCGGCCCATAGGTGAGTTTCCCTTGGCGATGTTTTGGAGGGAACAATAGGGAAGCCTGGACTAGGTTCATTCCCACGTTGATTCCCTGACCAGCAATGCCAAGGTCACGCCATAGGTTTCGCCCCTTGCCATGGTGTCGATTTCTTTGGGGGTTCCACACCAGACGGGTTGCGCATAGGTCCCCAAAAATGGGTTGCCCTAGCTGTGAGAAACCGCGTCCCAAAGCTTTGGGTTGGTACCCCAAAGGACACCGGGCCCGTCCTGGAGCCTGGGAGGGGCTTCGCCGTCGGATGCCTTCGGGGGAGGTGCTGAGCCTCTACCATCGCCTGGAGCAGCAGCAGGAGGAGTTCAATAGCCTTCTGGACCAGCAGCCCCTTGGCCCCGGACGCGCGGGGACGACGGAGCGCGGAAAGCGCGGCTGTCGCGGATCGCCGGTGGCGAGTTTTTTTCAGAATGCCACTGCAGGGCGCCGTGAATTTTGTTTTTTGAGGCGGCAGGCGATCCTCTTTGCTTGATTTTGGGGGGATTTGAGGTGTTCTTGAGATTTCGAAGCTTGTGAACCAGAAGCATCGAAATAAGTCACGCCCATTGTGTACCCACAATCAAAAATATGGGGGCGGCTATGAAAGAACACCGAAGGGAAACCCACCACTTGTGGGTCCTACTCCCTTTGTGAGCGCACACGCGCACACTTCAAGCGGGTATCAATCTGGCTTCGATTCCAGCGATGTCAAAGGAGCTATGGGCCTTTCGAGGAAAGACATACAGTGGATGGACAAAATCCTGCCCCACTTTGAAACCATGGATTGCATCCATCCACGCTAGGTGTCCTTTTTGGGGCTGGTTTGGTGTCATTCCATTTACCAGAGAAACCCATCTATTTGCAAAAGGTCGCATATGAGTCACAATCAAAACCCGGGTAGATGAAGGTGAGTAACGGACAATCCCAATCGTAAGTAGCTGCGGATATCCGGCTTCTTAATTCTTTACATGGTTCTGGGTCTCGACCATTCTAATACCGGGCTTTGATTATGACTCATATGGGGATTTTTCCACTTGCAGAACGAGTTTTTTCCCGTGGCCATGCAGGCCCTCTTGGTCTAGTTTGCTTTATATTGGTCGTGGATCAATATTCCCTTCGGCCCCCAAATGCTGGATCACTTTTCCTATTTTCCTCAATGGTCACCCATGTAAAGGACATTTTGATCAATCCCAGCCCCCACAAATCCCCACTTGGATACTTGACTGCTTCTCGGTTGCTGAAAGTGAACACTTTGAGGGATGTGTACACATGCCCGTGTTTTGTCGGCTTGCTTTTAGTTTGGGTCGGTTTGGCCAAGCTATGCGTGGCAGACACTTGGTGTTCTGCATGCATCGTTCCAAGCTCCGTTTGGAATCAGATTGCACACGTTCACTTCGCCACGCCGAGGAATACGGAGGCAAAGCAACGGGAGGACCACCTGCGAGGGCATTTGGAGAAGATGCAGCAGGAGCTTGCGCCGAATAATTTGGCCGTGGGTCAACACCAATGGTACCATTTTGCAGTAGGTGCACCACCCATTCTAGTCTAATTATCTTAGTGGGGATTGGGATGTTTACTGGGGGCACGTGGTTTTGACCCATGGCCATTTCAACCCCGATTGTCCGGAGGAGTCAGAAGGAGCCCCCAAAGTAGATCAGGGGGGGAAGCGACCTGTGTACGGTCCTCCGGATGAATACAAAGTCAATATGTATGGAATCAAAAAGGGATCTGCCCCCTTCCCCAAGGACCCCCAAAATTGGTCCCAAAACAGGACCTAATCTGGCCCGGGTTCCATCCCATACCCGTTTCGTTTGCGGGTTAGAAGAGAGGTATCGTATCCACAACACAAGGGGCGCGTCCGTCTCCCCCCAGTTGTGGAAGAGCTTGCACTCAGCTGCACGTGAGTGAGTGTCTGGATGCGTGTGTGGGTCAAGGCCCAAAAGCAGTCCGCGTTCCTGCACTTTGATCTCAGAGGGAAGACAAGTTAATCAAGTCAACTCAACAGGTCCGTCATACATGGACTTATTCAGGGTGGGGGGGGGTGGGGGGTGGGGGTGTTTTTTTCTTGGTCGTAGCGATAGCATTTTCGTGCTGATTCTCAGCAGGGCAACAGGGACTATCCCCTAGGAAGCATCTTTTACAATTTCCTTTAGGGGATCCTTGGGTTTCTTCCCAAACCCTCATATAAGGGGCTAACAGTTTAGCGCTACAATCATGACTAAGTGTAAGATGTAAATCCTAGAGGGTTGGACCATGACCAAGCTTACCATCCCTCCTAACATGGCTCAACAGGGGGCCTTCAAAAGGAAATTCATCTTCCACCTCCCCTCAGATGCTATGCCTGAAGGGTAGCCCCATCCCCTGGTTGACTTTTCACACTCAACCCGGGTAGATGAAGGGTAGCAAGGGGCAGTCCCGGCCATAAATGGTTGCGGATATCCGCCTTCTTTCTTCCCTACATGGTTCTGGGTCTCGACCATTTTTATCCCGATCGGTTGTTTGTTGTCACGGAGCTGGTCAACTTTTGGGGAATCCTCTTAGTAGCTTCCTCGTGCTCTTCAATCATTCCAAGCATGGCCTACATTTGGGAAAACCCTCTTTGTAGCTTGCCCATTGTCTCCAAAACATGAACTGCTTTTTTGGGGACTTCTTGCATTCGCCCACCAACGCCTTTGCACAAGCTGACCTACTTCTTCAGCCTGGGCAGCTGTGAGCGTTCTGTTGTTGGGGGGAGGCAGATTGCAATTGGAGGATTGGTGGGGCCCAAGCGAACGAGTGATCCAAGCCATCGCACCAGCCCCCAGCCCGCCAGCCGGCCGGCGGCACAAGGAGTTTCAGGCACGGGAGCAGCGCCTGCTGGACCAGCACGAGGCGGGGAGCTCGGCCTGGCGGCTGGCGGGTTTCCGTCCGCCCTTTTCAGAACTTGGTGGCTCCCAAGCCTTTTAGCTTTTTAGTGTTTAGTGGTTGGATGTCCATTTAACCCACCAAAGTTAAAACTTTTAGCCGGGGATCGGAGGACAGCCCAGAGAAAGGTGCCTTGATTCGGGTTGAGCCAAGTTCATCTTAAAACTGGGGCGCGGAGGGTTCACCAACTTCTCTGAGCCTGAAAGACGATGGAGGGGAGGCCGCAAGAACAGCGACGTTGCTCTACCGCTATTGGGTTGGATCTTTAGACTTAACTTTTTGGATCCCCTTCATATTTTCTTTTAACCAGGAAAAAGTTAACGTTTTGCTGGGGGATTTACAGCACCCATGAGTCAGGATGACCCTAGCAAGTCGCATTGGGCCCTTGGCTGAAGAGGGAGGGTTGGAGAAATCCTGGGGTGAGGGAAAGACCGGTCGCAAATGGCGAGCCTGGAGTTCGGCGAAAATGTGATGCTCAAAGAAGCTTGCGAGTGGAACGCAGGAACCCGTGAGGTGTGTCGGGCGTCATGCACGGACAGTCGCCGTGGTGGGCCTCACGCCGGACGGTGTGAAGTTTGGAGCTGGATTTGTTGAGGTCACGCGAGGCAGAAAAACATAAGTCGAGGTATGAATGGCTTGACATGGCGTAAAGCATCGCCAAATATTTATGCGCACATGCACAGATACACATAATCTATGTGAATGCATATTTACGCTCCGCACAATATGTACATCTACATATTGTTGAAAAAAGTTGGTACCCTTATTCTAACCTCTCTACTGGAGGACCTAGATGTGTAGAGAAGAAGAGCAAACAGGTAGGTGATTCGCCACCCCCAGTTGGGAACCTCAGGGGAATCCCCCTTAGACGCCCGGTGGGGACAGGCGCAGCGCCAGCACCGGGAGGGCGAGCGCCAGCAGCGGGAGCTGGAGCTGCAGCGGATCCAGCAGGAGGGGTTCTGGCTACCTTGTTGACCCCGATCTAACTACCGGGACTCTCCATCACCCTTTGAAAATGGGGTCGTTGCCCAAAATTAGGGGTTATGACCCCTTTTTCTAGGGGGTCATCTAGCTAGACCCCGTCCGGGGTCGAAATATTTCAACCACCTTTACTTAGGGCCTTAGGGTATTGTTTTGAAGGGTTCTTGGCTGCAGAATCCACTCCAAGTGTCCATAGCACGGGGGTGTGGGCCCCTCCCAAAGTGATGAACTCCCTAAAGTGGACTGTTTCTGTTTATGAACCAGGGGTGCATTCATTTAATCACCTGGGGTTCCCATTTTTCGGGGTCCTTGGCCTTCCGTGAAGCAATTGACTTGCTCAGTCCAACAGGGTTTCCACTACCCCCCCAACAACTACTGTTTTCCCCATGAAACCCCTGAAGGCGGTTTGGGGGTAGTGGAAACCATGTTAGACTTGGGGAATCATCGGGGGTGTTGGGAATGAACCGGAAGGGTCTCCCTATGGGACCCCGACCCCCGCGGTTGCTTCGTATGGGCCATTCCCTCGTTCCCCGCTGGCCAGCAAGGTGTGGGAAGGAATTGATTGGAAAACTGACTTGGCCAACCCTCGCTTTTCCCGCGGTGATACTTGGAATCAGTCTTCCCAAATACTAGTTCCCAATTTAAAGGCGCTGTGAATCGTCAAACGCCTGCTCCTGCCAACAGTATCATACCAAACAAATCTCGCTCTTCCTGCGGAACAAGATCCTGAACATCTTATGTATCGTCTAGGATAAAATCCCTCATTCCTGCAGGAAAAATGAACATGACCATGTAGGAATGAATCTCTGAACAAAGTCCCTCATTCCAAAAGGACATTAAAAATGCAGATACTTCATGATCGGATCAATTCAAAAAGAAAACTTAGTATGAAGCTCCTTGTGTTCAATTATATAGGCACAAAGCCCCCTTCCCACATTCCACATAACCCTGAGCAGGAAACGGAGTGGACACTGAGTGGCGCTTTTTGAGCAAGACTCGCCTTTCATGAAAATGACCTTGAGGTGTTGAAACCTTACTGCTGAAGCTTAGTTCATCATTTCTTTGAGGCTTTCTGAGTAAATGACTAATGCCCAACAAGAAATGGACCTTGAGGATAATGATGGCCATTCTGGTCCCCAAACAAGCAGAGCATGGCCAGTTTCGACCAAAGGAGTGCAGGGAAGATGTTTGAGTACTAGCCAGCCAGTGCCGAACCGGGTTCGGCACCTGCAATTATGACCAGGACTTGTTGATGGCACATAATATGGGGTTGATCAAATTTCCCTTCGGCTCCAAGTTTTTTCCGTGGTAACTTTTTCCCTCTGGGGAAAACATATCTTTGTAGTGGTCTTCCCTAATGGCCATCGGACATCCATTTGCTTCAGAACATGTTTTTTTTTTTTGTGTTTTTCCCCTTGCTGGTTTGAAAGGGAATCTATCACTACTGGACATATTTTTCCCCAGGGTGCTTCAGCAAATGGAAGATGAAAAGGACCTTTGCATCAACCCCCATTTTACATCTGAAGGTGCTTACTTAATCTGGGCCAGAAACAAACATAGTTGTGTTTGGTCGGGGGCAATAGCTGGGCTAGGTGCCAAGTAGCCAATACTGTTTAAATTACCCCAAGTGGAAAACCACAAGGGAATGTGTGTTTTTTTAGTGTTTTTTTTTCAGAGCCCCTATTTGGGCCAAACTTGTGTGTGTGTGTGTTGGTGTGATGAGGGTATCCTGTCAACCTCGCTAAAAGGGAGCATCACAAAGAACAAGACAAGTTTGGTTTCCCTTTCCTCGTGCCATGATTCAGCAGTTGCACAGGGTTGTTCCAATGTCGATTAAACTGCGCTTGACTCAAGCGAGGCATAAATTTGAGCATGGCCTTGACACTTCTTTCTCGACACTTTATGATTCTGTCCGCATGGAAAACATTTGCATTCAGGATAAGTCTCAATTGAAGCTGAAGCGATTGTTGTTGCACAGCCTGAGACACCCATAGCTCAGCGGGGTCCGGGGGTGTGTATCGGTATGGAGTCGGACCGTTTGGCGTGGCCTCTGGGCTTTGGAAACAAGCCGCTTTGCAATGAAACCTATGGTTTGCCTTGCAGCTGTTCAAGGTCTTGGAGCTTTGGCATTGGTTCGAGTCCAAGTTGGAGTTCCTGGTTTTCCCCAAAAAAACACAAACAAATCAGAAAACAAACACCCAAACAAGTTGGAATTCCTTGTTTTCCAAAGAAAAGAGAAAGGAGGCACGCAGCTCTTTGAGGCTTGGGCCAACCCGTTCCAGCCCTGCGGACACCAGGCCATGCGGTCTATCCTGACTGATGACCTGAGCTGAAGGGTGCCGCTCGATTCGGATCCCACAAGTCAGAAGAACCTCTTCAAAATGTTTCATTTACTAAGAGGGACCCACCCCTGATTAGTACGGTCCTCCGGATGAATCCGAAGGAAACTTTGTTTAGATCCAAAAGCGTATTGACATCGCACCCGTTGCTGTGGATAATGAGTTGCGAAGTCCAAAAATCGCACCACCTAAGAAACCATGCTTGAAACCACAGCCTTGGTATCTACAGGACCACCCGGGTTTGTGACACCCTCAGAGGCCCAAAATCCCCGCCCTCGCATCCAAGCCGGGCGCGAGGAGCTGGCGGCTCTGCAGCGGAACGCCTCTCAGGAGCAGAGCCAGGAACTCCAAGTCCAGGCGAAACCGAAACCGAAGATCGGAGCGCAACATTTTGCGAAACCGGGCCGAGTTCATAGGGTCCTTTTTGGGTGGATTTGGTGGAAAAATAGATGGGTTTCGATTCCTGGTTTACCCGGTGGTTTAATCATCCAGGGAAACCCATCTATTTGCCCTAAAAGGACACCAATGCGAACGGGCTCAGTTGCTCCGGACGTGGCCGGGAACACCAAGGAAATCATGTTTATGTTCCCTAGTTGCACTGGGATCGTTCCCGGCAACCTAACGATATGATACATGGAACCTGAAAAGGGTCTCTTCTAGACAGATACATCATGGCGGCTTGGGGGGAGGTACGGGGAAGGGAGCCCAAAAATTCCCAAGTGCGCCCTGAGTCCGGCCTTATCCCCCTACCAGCCCCCATGATATGTTTTACACTTTAAGGTGCTGGTTCACCAAACCCAGGATTGTTGCCCGACTAGGTACACTCCCTCAGACTAACATGGAAGTTGACAGGAGGGGGTTGGAAGACTACTTTCCTCTTGGGGAACCCCTCTGTCCACTTCCATGTCTGTTGGTGGGAGGGTATATACCAGAATCTGAACATCATACTGGTGCACCCCAGATGGCCAAGGATCAAGCGATTCGTGACACATCGAGCGAGCAGGGCGGAGGATACTCGTCGGTCTCACGTTTGTTGGCGGGCTGACCCATGAGCTTCTTACATTGTCACGTCTTAGTCTTAGCTGGCAACTTAAACCAAGTTGTGCAGATGGTTTGTTTGCTGGTCTGGTTTGGATGAACTTAAGTTATGTGTCTGTGTGGCTGGTGACATGGTCTTTCACGAGCTCTCAGTTTAAACCATATAGACTTTCAGGCAAACCAGAATGATTCCTCTTCAGGGAACCGCGACCATAAATTGGGGTATGTTTGGTTCGCCATGACCCTACCCACATTGCCATACGCCCCAGCAGAACGTAGCTTTCTGGGGAAATTGATCAGTAGCAGTCAAGTTCCATGCGGGTGGAAGGCTAATGTTTCGTACGGGTTTATTTCCAACTGGCTGTGGGTCAAAAGCAATGGGATCCCATTTTGAGGTGGGTGCACCACCGATTTTAGTCTATTTTAGTGGGGATTGGGATGTTCACTGGGGGTAATCGGGCTTTTGACCCATGGCCAAATGAGAGATGGACCCCCCGAGAATCTACCCATATGGCCCGTGCTTTTTTGATGTTTGGAACACCAATGGTTGGTGAACACAAGTCAGAAATCCAAATCGCAGATCGTGTCCGGCGACGAGAAAGCAACGACTAAACCCATATTCGGAGCTTGTCCCCTCATTCAAAGGGTTTGGTTACAGGAAAATCTGCAGGAAATGGCCCAAAAGACCCCAAACAAGCTGTTTTCCTTTAGAATTCCCTGTAACCCAACCCTTTGACTCATTTACGTGTGTTTCTGAATTATTTGTTGGGGGGGGCTCCCTTTGGGTGTAGTCACCCCCACTGGCCCCACTTAACTTGTAGGTGCAAGAGGCGCAGCGCCACGCCAGCTTGGCGCTGCAGCACAACGTGCCGCAGCAGATCTGGGGGGCGGGGGGTGGGGGGTGGGGGGTGTATTGGCAACCACTGACTCCCTGAGTTCCTGGACTTACAATGCTTTTTGGAAAGACTATTGGAAGTGAGACCATGCTTTTGCGGATAGCGCTCTTTGATGGTCATGTTTAGGGTGTTTGACGGGGGTTTCTAAGTGGTTTTCTATTTGTTTGATCATGTAACCATCTTCTTGCGGGTGGTTTTTCGGGCTTTTAGGGGGGCCTGCCAAAAAAGTCGGGCGGCGCCTGCCACTTTCAGGGGCTCGAGCCGTTTTTGGGGGGATTGGACGTTGGAAGGTGCTACCGTGCTACCAACCCCCCCCAAAAGGGGGGCTGTATGGGCGTGTCCTGCATTTGTGTGTGTTCCTTCTCAGTTTTTCGCTAAATAAAACAAACACATAAACCTCTGGTTTGTTGTTTTTGCCCCCGGCCCCAATCTTTTTCGGGGTGCATACACAAAAAGGTAGATGAATCGTCGCGTTGGCAAATGGCTAGCCTCATCCTTTTGAAGGAATCGCAATCAACCCCTATCCCTAGAAACTGAGATACTCGTTTGAAGAAGGACCTTTTTGGGTTCATGCCTCAATTTGTAGGAACTACTTGCTCAAAGTGGGTCATCCCCATGGGCTACTCAAGATGACAATGCCGCGGATCTACTAAAATCTGAGCAATGGAAACTGTACGTGTTTTCAATGTTTAAACTTCAGTGGCCATGTACAAACCAGGCAATGGAAAGCAGAATGGCTGCTTTAAAGGAAACAAAAGACAACCCTGATAGACACCCACGCGGTTTTTTCGCGCAAAAGACTCTGATCCTACAAGGGATTTTACGAGGGGTTGCTTTTCTATAAAGAGAGCATTCATATGATAATAAATATTAGATAATGGGATGTGGTGAGACAAAGAGACATATAATTAGGGCTTAATCTTTACCTTCTTCCATCTCTTCCTTCTCTCCTCGTCACCCCTCGAATCTTGGAAGTTATTGAAGATGAAAAGTAACAAGACATGAAAACAAGATCTTGAATCCTTTCCATAGAAAAAACAATCAAACAATCAAACACATTTCTTCATAATACAATTCCTGACACTAAAATCTAGAAATGTTTCAAGCCTTTCCATAAAAATACGTTTCCATTTATCGTTACTTCTTCTTTAGTTTTTTTTGGAAATCAGTTGTTTTTTAGAAGTCACATCATATTCATGGTGTTTTATCAATATTTCTATCTTATCAATCTTTGCCAATGTCAGAATTCTATTTATCTTTGCAGGATTTAATGTTCATTGAGAAGCCAACCGCTTTGAGGGTCCGAGCCTGACTTGTTCACCCAGTTGAACAGCGCACCAAAACCCTCGTCGGCCATTTCGTAGGTGGTGGTTCAATTGGGGTCATACAAAAGCCAACATGGCTGTGTCTTCTTCTGAGGACAATATGTTTGAATTGTTTTGTAACGGAACGCCAAGAGTTGAAGCCACTCTTTTTGGAGGTTCTATCTTGAGATGTACCCACATGAGCCACAATCAAAATCCGGGTAGATGAAGGTTGGTAAGGGACAAAACCATAAGTAGCTGCGGCCGCCTTCTTAATTCTTTGCATGGTTCTGGGTAGACCATTCTACTACCAGGTTTTGATTATGACTCACCTAAGGCTTTTTCGCCATGGTAGAGCCCGGAATGGTGCAAGGAAACTCTAGGGGTACCTTCCTCATTCTTTCCAGGGATCCGGATCTTTCTAGAAGAACCTCCGGAAACCCAGGGAAAACGGATCCGGTTTATGGAAAGAACGATGGTTGAAAAGAATGGAAAAGGAATCAACCCCTAGATTGTTGCCAGAGTTCAGGTCTTACCCTCCCCCCAAAAAAACAACACATGAAGTCATCAATCATTGAAAGCTCCAACTTCCACACCTGCTCTATATTTCCCCACGCACCAAAGAATTCTCAATACCATCAGCCAGATTCCTACCTACATGGGTGTCCTTTTTGGTTGTTTTGCTGGAAAAATAGATGGGTTTTGATTCCTGGTTTACCTGGTGGTTTAATCATCCAGGGAAACCCATCGATTTCCCACCTAAAAAGACACCCAGATTCCTAGCCACCTTTTTCGAGCCCACGGGCGCTTGAAACGCCTTTTGGCCTAAGGAGCTGGCGGAGCAGCACCGGGCCTCCGCGGAGCAGTGGCAGCAGAAGGCCCAGCACTTGGAGCAGCAGAACGAAGAGCTGCAGCAAGAGCCTGGGGCCTCGAGGGGGAAGGCCTCGGCCCCGGCTCTGGGAAGGCTCTTAGGCTCTTAGACCCCTGGGGCCGCTTTTTTGGAGGGGGCTTGGAAGCTTCCCTGGTTAGAAGAAAAATGGGCGAGTCCCACAATCAGGAGGTGTTCCTTGGTGTTCCTTTAAACCAACCCCCCAAAAAATGAGCCAGGCCCATTTGGGCTTCAAACCAAGCAAAACCACCTCTTTTCGGGTCCGGCGATTTCAACCATACCGTGGATGGTGCAAATCCGCGCCAGGCACCAGTGGGGTGAAGCCTCAGCTTCTGAAAGAAACCTACTGAGGCAGGAATTTGTCCATCTACAGCAATCTAGGTCCCTCAGCTAGGTGCCCTTCTCACCCCTTTTTTGGTTGGGAGGGTTCCCCTACTAAATAGACGTCCTGAAGAAAGTTGGTACCCTTGTTCTAACCTCTCTACTGGAGGAAAATGGTAATGCTGACCCCTGATTACTGAACCCGTCATCATTATAAATCGGGAGGGCGCCTCTAGAAGAACGGAGTTTTCACAAAAAGGACCCCCCTACCAAAAGGGGGTCCAGTTGGAGAAACCCGCATAAAGGAGTACCCGACAATGATTGATAGAACGTTGAAAAAAAGAGGCTGGTGCAACTCTGCGGGGGGAATTGGGAGCCTTGATTTCCGGGCAATGCTGCTTTTAGATTTTCTGAGACCCAAGAGACACCGCCTATGTATCAATATACCAGTTTATTAATTTATGAATATCTTAATCTATCAACATATCGATCTATCAATCTATCAATGTGACCATCTATAAATCAAGCTATCACTCTAAAAGTCTATCAATGGATGAAGTGGCCAATCGATCAGTCTATTAAGCTATCAAGTTATCAATCTAAAATTCAATCTATCTGTAAATGATTTGTCTGTCAATCTGACAGTCTGTCAATCTGTCATGGCAATCTGTCATGTCAATCTATCAATCTATCAACGCATCAGTCTAACAATCTGTCAATATATCCATCTGTCCATGTATCCATCAATCAATCCGTCCATCAATATCTCTATCTATCTATCTATCTATCTATCTATCTATCTATCTAGCTATCTATCTATCTATCTATCTATCTATCTATCTATCTATCTATCTATCTATCTATCTATCTATCTATCTATCTATCTATCTATCTATCTATCTATCTATCTATCTATCTATCTATCTATCTATCTATCTATCTATCTATCTATCTATCTATCTATCTATCTATCTAATCTATATATATCGATCTATTTATGTATGTATCTAATCTATCGATCTATCTAATCTAATCTAATCCAATCTAATCCAATCTATGTATCTATCTATCTATGTTATCCGTCTATCTATCTATCTATCTATCTGTCTGTCTATCTATCTATGTCTATCTATCTATCTATCTATCTATCTATCTATCTATCTATCTATCTATCTATCTATCTATCTATCTATCTATCTATCTATCTATCTAATCTATCTATCTATCTATCTATCTATCTATCTATCTATCGATCTATCTATCTATCTATCTATCTATCTATCTATCTATCTATCTATCTATCTATCTATCTATCTATCTATCTATCTATCTATCTATCTAATCTATATATATCGATCTATTTATGTATGTATCTAATCTATCGATCTATCTAATCTAATCTAATCTAATCCAATCTAATCCAATCTATGTATCTATCTATCTATCTATGTTATCCGTCTATCTATCTATCTATCTGTCTGTCTATCTATCTGTCTGTCTATCTATCTATGTCTCTATCTATCTATCTATCTATCTATCTATCTATCTATCTATCTATCTATCTATCTATCTATCTATCTATCTATCTATCTATCTATCTATCTATCTAATCTATATATCGATCTATTTATGTATGTATCTAATCTATCGATCTATCTAATCTAATCTAATCTAATCCAATCTAATCCAATCTATGTATCTATCTATCTATGGTATCCATCTATCTATCTATCTATCTATCTATCTGTCTGTCTGTCTATCTATTATGTCTCTATCTATCTATCTATCTATCTATCTATCTAATTAATCTATCTAATTAATCTATCTATCTATCTATCTATCTATCTATCTATCTATCTATCTATCTATCTATCTATCTATCTATCTATCTATCTATCTAATCTATCTAATCTATCTATCTGTCTATCTATCTATCTATCTTATCTTATCTTATCTTATCTTATCTTATCTTATCTTATCTTATCTTATCTTATCTTATCTATCTATCTATCTTATCTATCTATCTATCTATCTATCTATCCATCCATCCATCTATCTCTATCTATCTATCTATCTTTCTATCCATCTATGTATCTATCTATCTATCCGTCCGTCCGTCCGTCCATCTATCTGTCTGTCTGTCTGTCTATCTATCTATCTATCTATCTATTTCTCTATCTACATATCTATCTATCATTATCAGCCTATCATACTATGTCAACTTAGCAAGATATCAGTCTATCAATGCCTCATAGTTTATTCTATCCAAGGATCAGTCTATCAATCTATCAATCTATGAAACTATCCATGAACCAACCAACCAACCGACCGACCGACCAACCAATCAACCACACATTTAGTTCTGGTCGTGTCAGTCTCTCTTGAGCTGCGTCTTTCTTGAGTTGCCTCTTGTTTGGGTTGTTTGAAGGTGCAACCATTTTGCCTATTTTGTGGCTTGCCCCCATTTGAGACACCCCGAGCTTCGAAGCATACCCCCAAGGAAAGCCTCGAAGTGAGCAGCAAACCCCCATTGAATCATTGCCCATCATTTTATTAGGTTCTACTGCCTGGTCTTATGGTGGTTGTAAGGCCTATATCTTGTTAGGAAACAGACTCAATGGGTTTTGGGCACTGCCCAAATGAAAATACCACTTTGGACGGCTAGGTTGAAAAGCGAGCGGCAGAAGTACAAGGCTGGGATTTTCGATTCGGGCTCTCAGGCTTTGCCTTGGCTCCTCAGATGGCAAGTGATGGGGGTCAAATCAACAAATCAAGTTGTTTGACGCCCCTTGAAATAAATCAACGTCTAACTCAAGGAGGTGAACTCTGATCCGTCTGGCCGTGCTGGACGAGCAATGCCATTGCAAGTTCAAGAGTTCCTCAACGAAACGCATTCACAGCGAGGAACCCCTTGCCATTTTAGGAGGGTCTGTTTTGAAAAACATATGATTCGCAACATGGGTGTGGGTCAAAATGAAACCACCAAGCGACCCCAGGTTTCAATCCCGGGTTCCATTTACCAAGGTTCCATTTTGGGTGCCCATTTTTGACCCACAGCCATTCTTCGCCAGCAAAACATGCGCAAACCTCTTTTGACAAAAGGCAACCAACCAACCAACCAACCAACCAACCAAGCAACCAACCAACCAACCAACCAACCAACCAACCAACCAACCAAGAAATCAAGAAATCAAAGTGATTTCACCCCCTTACTGGAACACCTCGCTTGTTCATGTTGATTTGAAGTCAAGGGGTTCCCCAGGCCGACTGGCACACGGGGAGAGTTCGGAGTCCTCAACCAAGATTCTGTCGCTTAGCTTCCGCCTTTCGAGTCAAGTTTCTGTTGCGGCTCGGAACCCCAAAATGGAATCAAGCCCCAAGAGCATAGGTGTCCTTTTTAGGTGAGCCTGGTTAAAAATAGATGGGTTCCACTGGTTTAGATGGGTTTTGTTCTCTTTACCAGGGCCATCTATTTTTCCCAAAGGCCACCTATGCCCAGAGGGGTTCCCAACGTTTTGTAGGTCTTTGGGCACCTCATAATGGCAGAATGGAGGCCAAAAAAGTGGCCGGGGAGAAGGCGCAGAAGAACCAAGCCGTTCCTTTCAGGAGTCCCAGCTGCGGAAGCAGCAAAGCTCCCTGCGGAAGCAGCTTGCGAGCAAGGAGGAGCCGAAAAGCATCCCCTAACCTTGGGCCTCAAGTCATAGGCTTAATCCTTTGAGAAGAACGGCCGGTGGGAAAACATCTCCTGATTCGTTTTGGTGATTTATCGGTCTGCCAATTGACTGAAGTTGTGTAACCGTGTGACCTTTCCAGGCACCTGGAACATGAAAGATCCCTTTCCTTTTGGGCCATTTTTCTGAATTTACCTGTCTGCCATGGTGGTAGCAACAGCACTCAACGCATCAACTTGATTTGTAAGTTTCAGACTCGCTCTCGGCTAACCCATGGCCTTGTGTAGCCCTTTCCTCTTTGCAGTCTTGTCGCGAGTGAAATGCTGGTCAACGGGCCCGAGAGGCCTTCAAACAGCAGGACATCCAAGGAGAGGGGGGGGACGACCCCTCCATTGTCCCTTTTAACGGGAAGACTAGATGAATGGAATTGGGGGACCCCCTCCCCCCCCTCCCCCTTAAGCTAGGGGGGGAAATAGGACGTCCGATGCGCTGAAGAACTTGAATTTGGCCTTCAACTGATCCCAACGAAGCCGGGAGGAGAATTTCCTATCATGGCTCGGCGGCCGCTCGTGCTGCCGCATTGCCCCCAAACGCTGGGTATACCATTGTTTCTCTGACCGGGTTGGAGGGCTGCCGGTGACACAGCGTGGCCAAAAAAACGGCTGTTTCAACTTGTTTGTTTCTGATCTACGCGGGTGTCAAATGGGGGAACCGTCTTTAAAGCAACCCCGGACAGGGGGGGGGACAGAGGGCAATTTTTGAAAACTTTGATTGCTGGAACAAAAAAGGCAAGCAACGAATGAACCTCTGTTTTCATTTAAGCCCCCCAAAGTCGCCATACAGATCTTCCCACTACCACCTTTTTGAGGTTCAGTCAAGAATTCCTGTGGTGCATGGTCCATAGGGAAATGAGGGAATCTCACTCCATATCCTCACCCACCGGAGGCGCAACCCTCAAGTTTCTCATATCCCGGGGGCAAAGCTTCTACTTTGGACCGCTTGCAAGCTTGACAGCACGCCAGGTTAGCTCCACACAGCTTCTCCAAAACGCGGGGTCCAAAACGACAGGAGCAGCTCGGGAGCCTCAAGAAGGCAGTGGAAGACCTCAAGGTGGGATCGATCCGAGATGGCTTGTGCTTCTTTTCAGAAGGGTGTGCGTTTGGAATCTAGGTTCGGTGGTTGGGTAGGTTGGGTTGGTTGGGTAGGTTGGTTAGGTTGGGTAGGTTGGTTAGGTTGGGTTGGTTGGGTTGGTTGGCAGAGTGGCATGACAGGGGTGGGTCAACATCCCTAGCATCACCAGGTTCAGTCTCCCCCTGAACTGTTGCCGCCGCAAGACGAGATAGTTTTTATTTTTTATTTTT